TAAAATATATTAAAAGTTTTCTCTGTTTTCTGGTACAACTCTTGTACATACAAATATCGATGTACACATGTATCCTATGTTCAAGCCTATGTCCGGGAAAAATAAAATTAAAGCTCTTCCGACTAGCTAAAAACGACCCGACTCAGAACTTCTTTTTAACTTTCCAGGAAACAATTTTTTTATGCATTCCGGAAAATAAATTTTGAAAATTCAGCATTGATGTTGACATTTTCTGTAGAAAAAATTTTCCACCTAAGTACCGGCTCGGTTTTTTTCATCCTGAGTCGGGAAAGAGCAAACAAACATTATTTTAAAGTTGGCCTTATTTTAACCAGTTTGCAAATAACGAGAAAGGTGGTAATTTTTTTATCTTGATGCATTAACAAAGGAAAAGGGTTTAAAAATACACAATTCGCACCAAATAATGACAAAATGAGACTGTGACATACAGTCAACTGAATGGTCACTGAAAGATCTGTATAGGTGACTGAATGGTAGAGCCCTGCCATTCAGTTACATGTGAGTAAAATGAATTGAAGAGTTTTAATGTGTGAAAATGTCTTTGTATTAAGTGCATAAAATTTGCCCTCTCCCAGTAGGGTTGGATACCATTGAGGATGAAAGCGTACAATACCATACTTTACCCTACGTCTTATTTAGATGATACTTTTTAATGACTTTTTAAGTTTAGCTTGAATTTTTAGTATCTTTTTAAAGAACAAAGTGGTTTTATGACGTCATTTTTATGTAAAAACTGTCTTTACAATTTCTGTTTTCAATGAAACGTTTTAAGAAGAAATTTTTTTTTAGAAAATAAAAGGTAAATATAATCTAAAACAATGATGTACAACTTTGACATAAACCGCTTTTCGCCGTTGCTAAGATTCCAAAACCCCTGTTTTTGAGGTGTCAGTAATAAGACTACATTCAATCTAGTTGTTAAAACGAAAAAAATCAAAATAATTTCTTTTTTCATATAATCTCATTTCAATATATTTGTCTTTGTTTAAGCTTCGTGCCAGTGACATACCTTCAAAAATGTCTCCTGCATTGGATGAATTTACAGTTATTTCTTTTATTGCTGACCCTTTGCTTTTGAAAAGATTTACAATATATTCTCACTTATCTCACTTTAAAACAATAAATCTCTGGAGTAATCCTATCGTTAAATAAAGAGTATGAAATGACGGTCCCACTCATTATGACGTACTCCAAAGTTCTTGTTTTAGTAATAAGATTTTAATGTCACACATATCTCAATATTTTTTTAAAAAGCCATGAATATATTGTGTATAAAAATAATTGATAATTAAAAAATAAAGTATATATGATTGATTGTATATTGATTTACGTCCTGTTCGAGAATTTTGAACTCATATAGAGACGTCAACATTTACCGGTGAAGGGCTTCAAATTAAGACCTTTACTCGGCACTCAGGGCCATTGAGCAGTGAGGGTTCTTTATCGTGCCAACGCTTACCGTGACACGGGGCCTCGGTTTTCAAGGTCTCATCCTTCAATTCAAAGTGCCAAGCGCTTGGCGAAATAACAATTGCTACCTATTTTTTTTTATCGAAATATATGGAGATAGCGAACAGTATTCAAGCTCAAAAGTCCATTAAACAATACAAAATAGGAGCAGAGCAAACACGGACCTCCAAAACATCAGAGGTGGGATCAGGTGTCATGGAAGAGTAAGCATCCTGCCGACCTGTCACACCCGCCGTGTGCTCCTTGTCATGATCGGGAAATAACGGGAAAATTCAGTGTCTAAATAATGGTCTTACAATTAGTATGAAAAACGTCAGTCAGCATTTGACTCAATGATAAATTGTATTTGCTGACAAGGTCATTGTATCGGCCAAAGAACATACGAAATGATTACTTTAAACGAGACTGCTGATATTCATCAACTTGTTTGTCAGTAATTTGCCTCGTTTTAGAAATTGCACATACGAAGAGCATGCTCTTGCGTACCGAATCAACTGAGAGATATAAACCCCGTATGCAGGTGATGAAGGTATATTGCTGCATAAGTAAGGGAAGTTGACGATTGAAAAGTTAAAGTCATCACGTTTATCATAAAGCCTGGTTGTTAGATTACCATTAACGTCTTTTTCAAGTAAAATATCCAAATATCAAACAGATGTGTCGGACTCTGTGGTATCTTTTATCTCAAGCTCACCAGGATATATCGTATCGACCTAGGTCAGTCGCGGCCGTGATTCGAACACATGCTCTACCGACTGAGCTACCTTGACGGTCTATATATATATATAGTATATAAGTTGCTTTATGTTTCGTAATTGAATATGATTTTCATTCAATAATTTCGGTTGTTTTATATATGTTTTTATAGTTAGAATCAACACATATACTCACTATGTTTGTCCTTTTTACTAATTTTTCCCAGGATCCTATTTCTTCGGGCTTTCGTCCCGTTTTAATGACACAGGTCATGGGCGGGGTACTTGAATTCCTATTGGTTATCCTATGGACAGTCCAGTGAAAAGGGGCGTCATTTTGATTCATCTAAACAGCACATGAGAAAGAGAGAGAGAGACGACATCCCTGACGGACAACTCGAGAACAGTAAATAAAAGTAATGCATTTGAATGGTTATTTGAGAAAGAATTCAACTCTCTGGAAAAATATATTATTTAAATCCGAAGAAAATCTTAAAGTTATTGTGAAAGTTTGAAGCAGTGAATTGTTTGTTGTTTGTGAATATATTTTTGTCAGATGAAATTCTACACAAAAATTTTGAATATTTTAAGCAGTTGTGCTGTGACTGATAAACACACGAGACATTCAAATTTTTTATGTTCATTTGTTTTGTTGTAAAAATTACTTTTGTTTTGTTTTGTTTTGCTTTGTTTTTTTTTTAAATTTTGTTAAATTTTTTGGTTGTTTTTTTCCTTTCAGATTCTAAAGGATGTATAACCCACATCTCAACAGACACTTTGTTAATTTTAAAGCGAGATCAAACAAGACGTTCTTTATATGTTTATTGTTTTGGTATCCAATGTTTTTCCTATCATCATCTACAGTTAATAATTAATAAAACAAAATGCATTATTTGTATACACCATGGGGGGGGGGGGGGAGAAAACTTTCAATAAAGAAGATTTCAAATAATAGAACTATGTTTTTCGTAAAATCTGAAGTTGTACAACATGTACCAAAAGTACAATGTAATTTATTAGCAAGTGGGGGGAAAGCCGTGCTTTTTATCGCCGAGCCCTTGAAAAACGGCCAGAACAATGAATATGAATTGCGGTTCAGCCAACAAGCAACCGGTGTGAATAAACAAGCTACCATTATGAAAACCATGTTTTTGGAGGCTGGAATTCCAGGTTATTTTACGAATCATTCTGGAAAGCGCAATCTAGCCACAACCCTTTATCACAGTATTGATCTTTACCATTTTCAATCGTAGATTTGCTATTCTGTGATAAAACCATAAAAAAAATAGAGGGAAATATATAAATAGTAATTTAAATGGTCGTCAGGAATGTTTTTGTGTGTGATTTTATTGATTGTTTGAGACTTGAAAGTTGATAGAACCAGACAATGAAGATAAGTAATCATGAAAAACCGGGTAAATAATGAGTTTGTTAAGGGATAAAAAAAACCTCCCCCTTAACTTCTGACGTCAGAAAAGGCAATTTATTAAAAACATGACCTTGGATTGTTACTAAATTCATGACAAAAATTCCAATAAAAATTAAGACCCTAGCACTGAAGAGAAAGTATTTATGATTATTGTAAATATACATGCAGGAATATATTATGTGTAGTATCATGTAGTAAAGGAAGTTCCCCACCCCAACCCTCAGTCACGGTAGCTTAGTAGAGGGTTCGCTTCGTGATGGAAAATTCGTGAATTCAGGCCCCGGCTAATACAAAACTCGATAAAAATCGATAAAATATAGGTAGAAATTGTTCCTTTGCCATGCATTATACATCAATGTCTCTCTGATGCTACCTTAAAAGCCTGGAACCCTTTTCACGGCAGGCATTGGTTGGGCACAAGTAGGATCCCTCACCGCTCAATAGTCTTGAGTGCCATCTTTAAATTTGAAGCAAATTAATGGCATACTATGGCGTCCCATATCAAAACGAGACGAAGATGACGAACAGGGATCGATTTAAAATAGTACAAACAAAACAAATACAATGTATTCTAAATGTCGATTTGAAAGCCACAAGTGTTTTTTTCTTAAATGAAGAATTTTTGAATAAATTTTGCTTCATAGGAATATAAAAACAGTATTGCAAATAAAGGTGCACAATTGGTGTCCCTCGTGATTCCAAATTATCCTATTTTCAAAATTTTTTTTAATAAAGAATATTATTTTACGAAACACAAAATTACAGAAAAAATAGGAAATTGGTAATCATTATAGAATACAAAAGAAGAGTAGATAACCTTAAAGTCTTAGTCAGGATTTATCATAATGAGACTCCCTTTACAACAACTCTGGCTCACGGAGGGCACGCCATAAAGATCACGTAACACACTAGATGAGGCTTTATCATCACGACCGCCTCCTATTTTGCTGTCACCCGCAAAATGGGAAATCAAATACACATCATGAACAACATGTAACACACTAAGTAGGCTCTATCATCATGAGAGTCTCCTTTATCTCGGTGTCACCAGAAACCGATGGATATCAAGGACACGTCATTTACAGCATTTAACACACTAAGTTAGGCTTTATCATCCTAAGAGTCTCCTTTATCTCAGTGTCACCAATAACCGTGGGATATCAAGGGCACATCATAAACATCAAGTAAAATGCTAAGCGAGGTTTTATCATTATGAGTGTCTCCTTTATCTCAGTGTCACCAATAACCCTTGGGTATCAGGGACACGTCATTAACAACATGTAACACATTTAGTGAGGCTTTATCATCATGATAGTCTCTTTTAGCTCAGTGTCACCAATAACCGTTGGATATCAAGGACACGTCATAAACGTCAAGTAAAATACTTAGTGAGGCTTTATCATCATGAGGGTCTCAATTATATCTTTACCCTTCTTGATTGTAGGTTTCCAAGGATTGAGCCAGAATCCCGGAGACCAGGGATCGTTGAGGAAGCTTTTTTGACAGGCTTTAAACCACCAGCCCCCGTTATAATTAGCTGCACAGTTAGAGCTATATATGTCCTGGTCTCTGTCCGGTGTACTGAAGTACATCCCAGAATGCCCTGACATACTGTCACCTAGAAAAAAAACGTATTTAAGGAATAACTGTCTAATTGATTGGTCTCATGATTTGATCAAGCCATTGGCTTGCGTGATAATTTGCATAAACGCCTCTCCGGCGTTTATGTATAAAATTATCACGCAAGGCAAAGGCTTGATCATCGTCAGGAAACCAAAAAATCTGACAGTTATTCCTTATACATGTATTTACATGCATTTGATTCTCTTAATTCACGTGCTACAAGCCCCAACTATTTTTGTCTGTCTCTCTCTCTGTCCCACCCCGAACCTTTTTTTAAACCGCATCTAAAATGAACCAGTAGCTTAATGAAGATAACAATTATTTTTACAATTTGTAGTTTTATCTTGGACAAAAAACTTAAAAAATGTAAACTCTCTCTCTCTCTCTTACCTAATGTTCCGGCAGCTGGTCCTCCAAGAAAGAGTCTGTAGTTGTCTGCCTCATCAGAAACAGAGAACTGATCGTAATATTCATATAACATTCTGCCATCTCGTAAAGTGATAGAGACGTAGAGAGACGAGTTTCTTCCCTTGGTGAGCTGATGAATCACCTCATTACCTTTAACATGTTATTGGAAATATTTATGAACTAATGAAAAATAAAAAAAAATATTCAGGACTGATTCATAGATTTCAACAATTAGATTTTATCTGCAAAATTATCATGGATTCATAGAGATGTAATATCTGAGTTATATACATAAAAACGTGACTTGAAAGGGAGCAGCTGCTAGACATTTTGTAACTTTAATCTGAACTGTGATAGCAACATATCGATGAAATAATTTTTTGACAATTTTTTGCATTCGTAAAGATATAAATAAGAAATAAACATATACCAATCCAAAAGGAGTCTTCCAGATTCCCGAAACCGTTTTTGTACTCATCCCAGAATCTGTTAAAGTTGACAGATCCACCTCTCCGTTTCTGGATTACCTACAAAGTTAGCACTACACATCATCAGAACATTTTATTACAGTTAAAGATTTTTTTTTAAAATTTGAATTTAAATTTTTTCCCCTTACCATTGTCATGTCTTAAAAACATTTTAAAAGTGTTTTCAATAAAATGTTATAGTCAAATCATGCAAAGAAAATTTCTATAAAATGTTTTTAAAACACAAAAAAATGATTCCAAAGGTACGGCGAATTCACAAATATACTGAAAGGAAAACGAAACGAAATATTTTTGACAGTGTGAACGAAAATTATTAAAACTGGTCAGAAGTGTATCTTGGTGACTGTGCACTAAAGTTTGTGTTCAGGACTACACGACCGTAAAATGTATGACGTCACCAAGGCAAAGTGGAAAAACGCCAAAAAACAGTGCATGTTGATGATGACAATTTTTTGAACACATTTTGTGGTACCAACTGATGCATTGGAGGATAGACATCTTTTTCGCATTTTTGCAGAGTAACTTGAAAGGTTTCAATCAACCGTGACACTGACTTTGGCGCGTATCAACGTCACATCTAGATAGGGATTTTAATCATGCCACCTCTGTAATCGTCAAGACATTTCCACTGAAACCAATAGTTATACACTAGGCAATTAAAATCGTAACATTCCCCCTAAAACTGACAAAAACCATTTGCTCCATTATGGTCCATGAGCTTGGCAACTTTCGTCGGTATTACTTTCACGCGCGCACGTATGCATCGAATGCTAATTTTTGTAGCATGTTCAGCCCGGGAAAATATAGCCAGCGTTTGTCAAAACTTTCTACCAAACATTCACTGTTACGAAATCAGCTGGATTCTATTAATGATATCTTTTTTGGCGCATCTATGGGATTAACATGACGGTAAGGTTTGAAGGCTTTAGAACTTCTCTCGACCAACTTAGGGCTACCCTGTCGGAAAAGTTGAATAATATCCCTATGAAAAAGATAAATGCACAGATGAACTCCATGTACACGAGAATCAAGGTTGTTACAAATGCGGAAGTGAGATGATGAGAAATTTTATTTTCATTTTTGGGGCGTCCTGTCAAATGAATTTCAATAACTCATGAATTATCAGTAAAAATCATGGGAGATTTTGGTAGATGAATATAAATGCTTGATACCAATACCGGAAAATACGTTTGGAATAATAGGTCTAATTCACTTAAGAAGTTTACTATGGGATTCTTTTTTTTCCCTTTCAGTATAAAAACAGTTTCATATTATGTTATAAAAATGTTTTTAAAACATGACATAAACATTTCCTTATCTAGAAATATGAAATATTATATTTTACGTTTCCTTTACATTCTGAAGGAGCGTTTTCAAAATGTTTATAAAACATGTTCAATTATACTTATATTTTGATACTTAAACGTTTTCAATCTAGGTCGTGAAAATGTTTTTAAAATGTTGAACAAACTGTCTTCTCTTCTTACAACTGAACCATTATAGTTATAAATTGTGCAACATTCTTTAGAAACATTTTCAATTGTTTTTAAAACATTTAACATTTGTTTATTTTCAGAGCATATTGTGACAATATTTTATGGAACATTGATCATAACGTATATTACTTCTTCTAAAGACTAAAACATGTTTTATTTAGCATCCCTGCAATATTTTGTATTGTTATACCTTTAAAAATATGTTCCTATATAAATCAGTACTAATAAAAAGTCTAACATTTTCCAATGTATTACTGAGCGGTCCAAAAAATCGATGTATGACTGCAGATTGAGATATTTGACTTGTCGATGAGATATTGGACCGCTTACGTCACACAATTGGCGGGATCAGCTAAATCTCATTTGCATTCGTTGGTGTTCGATATACATGTATGTCAAAAAAAATATAATAAAATGAACAAATAAAAGGTATAAAAACTTTACGTTTTCGGGCAATTTTTTTTTACAATATCAAGAATTAGGGATGTCAACGAATATTTGAACATCTGAATATTCATTCGATGGGTTGATATTCGAATATGAATTTAAGATTTAAATATTCGGTGTTTTTCAAATTTCATAAAAAGATGTATACTGGGAATAATAAATTTTTGAATAGAACAGTGCTGGAATTAATTACCCTGTTTAATTTATTACTAGCGATCAATTTCGATCGCCTGATTTCTTTCACTACTTTCTATATCTTATATAGATCTACTAAATTATTTTGTTTTGAGTAAGGTGTTTACGAATTATACAATAATGCTTTATGTATCATACAAAATGTACTTTCATAGTTTTTATTAGTTAAATACGATTTGATCTAGAAACGAGGACAACAAATTAAAAAATCTTCTTTGAATGTCTAAAAGACGTGAAGAGTATACTTATCAAAACAAATTTAATTGATCATTCAAATGAATGTCCGATAGAATTAGTCTGTAATTAATATTGTAAAGGGCTCAATTTCAGAATAAATGTGTGAATTTCTTGTTATCTCGGGTTTTACAAAGTCCTGAATTTGTTATTCATTATCGGGAAATTATTTCATTACCTTGGAAAATTGTCTATGGAAATATTTGTTTATACTTTGTAAAACATTGTATCAAAGATTAAAATCATATCTCTGATTAGTCTGATAATTGTAATTAATTTCGCGTATTGAAATCTGAACAGTATACGACTATCTTGCCTTTGGTAAGACGACTGGTTCCTCACTTGGAGCTACTATAAATACACATGCACCATTTCATAAAATTATACTTTTCTACATTTAATTCAAATATTTACTTCAAACATTGACAAATATCAAATGGTTTTCCTTTTTTGTATACCTATAAAAATCTTCATACAATTTTATTTCCAATATAAGAATACCTACGCTAAACCTTTCACGAGAGTAGGATGATGCATATTTAAAATATACCAGATTTTATTTATTTTATCGAATATTCGAATATATTCGAATACTTTTATTGAATATTCGAATATGAATTATTGACACAATTGACATCCCTATCAAGAATTAATTTTCAATTATGATTTTAAAAAATGTTCCGAAAACATTCCAGTATTTTTCCTTCTTTCATTATTACATTAAATTTCTTACTTGGTTTGACAGGCATGAAACTAATACAGTATTTACTGAATAAACTGAAATTTTTTTTTTAAATAAGAACATCATAAGAAGACAACTGCTTACAATAACACAGCTTGATTTCAAAACAAAAACACACAAATGTTAACTATCTCGTCTTTTTGCATTATTTGTGTGAACGCTTCCAGAATTTAATTCCAGGGCATCAGGTCTTGCTTCTCTGGTCATTTTCAGTCCAAAGATAACCTTGTTACGGAATTCTCCTATGAGCAGCTTTACATGGAATAGTAATTTGCAGCTTATCTCGGTGAAAATTCGAATTCTTCTGGTTAACAAGATGGACGCGTTCTCTTGCTAGGCGTATGTGTAGCACTGAGATGAAGCTATATATGTATTTGAATTTAACACATTTGACCAGAAATATATTACAGACTTCATTAATGATTTGAGTTTACATTGTATTTGAGTTGTGTTATTCATAGATTAAAATATAGATTGAAACAGGAAATTGTATTGCATGTAGATGTCAATTCCATGAACAGACCTGAATTTCATTCAAATCGCCCATTAATGGGAAAAGCCGCTGAAGAAGATTTCAAATAAAGGAAATTTTTTTTTGTGCGTGAAAAAAAAAATATTCTTCAACAATATATTGACAAGTGTCATTGAAACATGCATTGCAAATAATGAACATGCACGCAGGTACGTTAAGGCTTCCCAGAGAATATCAAAGTGTACTCTGTGTCTTCACTTCTCTGAACTACAAACGTATGACGTCATAATTGAAATGACGTCAAGTCATTGCAAACCTGAGCGGTTATGATGGGGTTATTATCATAAACTTTACACCTTATTTCAATCTACATATAAAGTGTCAGAAAGGTAGTGTAAAATAAACGTGTTTTAATCTTTTTTTTTTAATTTATATATATCCTAATATTTCAGATAACTTTGCTTTATTACTCTTGTTTAAAAGTCCGCGCGTTCAAAATATATACGAAAATATACGTTTGACATATACCCTTTTTATACCCTTGGATAGATGTTGAATTTATAATACGTGTATAAAAGAACCTGGCGCGGGTGATTAATGGGGATTTATTTGAGATCTTTTGTAGAGATCTGTAAGAGGAGTTTCCCCTCTAACTGGATTTTGCTTGGGAAAAATGTGCGATGGCTTTGTTTTAATACAGATGACGATATTGAGTGGAAAACACCCTCAAATTTGTCGGTAAGTTGAATTTATTGTGAAATATTTTGTACCAGAGTAATAGTATAACTTTTCCCAAGCACATTTCGGGTTCACAAGGATGCGACGAGTTCATTTATGCGACAAAAAGTTAATAATTGTGTTTATCAGCTGCACCGAAGCGATTTATGTGAAACACTTCAAAAAAGTAGAAATGACCGTCACGTGATCAAGGAGGTCATGTGATATCGTATCAAATACGTTTATATATAGCCTAGAGAACTCTCTATATAAATTGGCCGTACTTAAGTACATAACTTACAAATAAAAGTAAAAATCGAACCTGCAATGCAGTGTCATTTTTGAACGCATTTAAAGCTTCGGGAAGCCTTAACATTGCTGCACAACAAATCTGATTCTGTTCATCAATGCAATGTGAAAATATGTTTTTATGATTAAAATAAACATATTTTCATCAGTTTAAGATTTGATATCGACGACTTATACACCTTTTTCTCTATTTTTAACATCCTCGAATTGCTTTCCAGAAAAATACCTTCTTGTTTAATTCTTTCCAATGAGAGACTTCCTGTGAGCCTTTGCAATCTGTTTAATATTGGATTTGCCGCTCTGTGAAACCTACATATGTTGATATGTGCTTTTTGCAAGATCGTAAAAGATACCTGTGACCTACACCTTTTTTCTTCAAGTAGGAGGGATTTGTGTTTATGCTTTTTTTCGGTTTCAATGAAAGAAAAATTAATTAAATTTTATCTATAAGAATACTTAGTACATTAAAACAAAATAATTTAGAACTTGAACCGGAAATGGAACTTATATGTAATGACATCTTGATTACGATTTTGTATTAAACTTTTAAAAAAAAATATTCAACTTTAATTCACTTCAAAAAGTTTTTACCTGGTAATGTGAAATGTTTTAAAAAAAAATCTAAAATCATACAAAATGATGTTCTCATAACATTGAATGAAAATACTTAGTAACATTTTAGGGAAAATGTAATTACAATATTTTCTTAAATGTTTAGAAAAATGTTTTAAACAGTTTCAAAAAACCTTAAAAATTCACATGATTAAAACATCATCGAACACGTTTCTGTAAAATTACAAGAAAATGTTCTGATACCATTAGTAAAAACACTTTGCTAAAAGGTTTTAAAAACGTTTAAAAGCAATGAAATTTTTTTCGTAACAATTTGAAAAAAAAAATTTACAAAGATTTTATAAATGCTTTTGTGCTTACTGGGTAGGTGGTTAAGATGGGTTCATGAAAACTGTGCCATTCATAGGTATCGATTTATAACTCTGAGCTAAATGTATAAATGTTCTTTTTTCAAAAAGAGGGGATGGGGGATATATACTACTCCGAATTAGAATAGATGCAAATGTCCTTCCCAAGAAAGAAATGCCTCTCAGTACTTAGCCTTTATAGAGAGAAAAAACTAATTAAGACATCAAAAGAGACTGAGGATATGTGGCATGACGATACGGTTATATTTTCCTGTAACATGAGTAGTCTTTACTTCTTAACATAAAATAAGACTTCTGAAGATAACAATAATAAAAAAATGTGAAGACTTGATCACGGCATAATCGAGCATTAAACACGGACTACTGAAAACTCCATAGATGGGATAAGGTACCAAGAAAGAGTAACCAATTATATGAGCCGTGGGTCTTTTCTATTGATCAGTGAGACGAAGTACGCAGTAGTCAAATTAACTATGAAAAAGATGGTCTAACAATTGGTAAATTAAAGATACGTCCCAAGGATGGGTTGATTTTGCAACAAAGGTCTTTATAAAGATCATAGAATTTTCAACTGCTGACTTTAAACGAGACTGTTGAAATCCCTGTAACAATAGCAGTGTATGAAATGAAATATCAAAAATATTTAATGACAATTCAGTTTCTAAATGCTCTCTGCAGGCCACCTGTTTTCAGATTTCACTGAAATGTCATATGACTTTTTGTTTGCTGAGAGAGGGAGAGAATCTTACCGTCCACCATCTGCCACAGTTCTCCATATTACACGACACGTTAACAACACGTGACTTGTCATTCTTAAAAGGATACATTTGGTATACACCAGACCGTGTCTGTCCATTAACAAAAATATCTCGGCAGTCCAAAGGAAAAGTTCTGCCATCTTTGTCCATTTGAGGAGCTGTAAAAATTGTGTATAAATAATCAACTGCACGGAAATTAAATGCTAAAAAGCTTTATCAATTATCAGAACAAATTATAAAAAATTCAATAATAACCTTCTGGAAAGAAATGTTTCCATCCGGCTTCTGCTACTGTTATGTTTGACTGGTCAAACGAATGGTGAATTTGGCATTTCTTTTCTTTCAAGTTAAACCCAAAGCAGCCACAAGTGACGTCACACATAGCAGAACAGAAGGACAGGGAGGAGTCATTGTATTCTGCTATAGATCTACCGACCGACTTTTTTTCGTCAAAATTCACATCTTCTAAATACCGACAAGATACAGCTGCCGTCAATTGTACGGAAACCGCCATCACAAAAAAGTTGCAGAAAATGCTCATTTTGCGATTAGCCAGAGTTCAACTAAGACGTCACTTTAGAAGATTGATATTTTTTGCAGCTGTAAAACATATATTAATTAAGAACTCTTAAATTATTCTGACGAAAAACGTCTGTAATATTAATTGTTTTAGTTTACAACTAACGAAATGTAACTAAGCGTAGTTTTTTTGAAAGCGTAGTTTAAGTTTCTAAATATTGAATATTTAATAAATACAAAAGATACACTTATATAAACCTATAAACAGGCTGCGCAAAAAGTTCATTATGCGATATAGCATTAGTGTCAATACGTATATTTCATACAATACACCAATTAAGAGGACTGAAATTTAAGCAGCGCTGAAACAACTATTAATTAAAAACCCCAGAATTATTTTGACTGAGCAGCTTTGTCATATTGATTGTTTTAATTTACATCTAACAAAATATTACTTACTTATTTCTTATAAAGCAGTAGTTTCAATTTCTACATGTTGAATATTTTATTAATACAACAAATATCCACATGAAAATTAGTTGGAATTGGATATTGAGCTGATTTTTGGTATGTGAGTGTATCTTGATGAGTGACAGACAAAGTTTGCATTTCGTTCCTCTTCATTGATTTCAGACGGAATTATGGCCTTTTCAATTTTTAAGGGTTTTCCGCAATTTTCTTCTAAACGCTTTCAGATATTGAGCTGATTTTTGGTATGTGACTTTACCTTGATTAATTATACATCAAGTTTACATTTCGTTCCGCTTCATTGATTTTTGACGGAATAATGACATTTTCAATTCTTAACGGGAACCAGATTACACTTGCCGGTAGGGGATTAGTATTGCTAATGCAATACTCCCAGAATGCTTGTTTTGTTTGTTTGTATGTTGTTTTACGTCCCTCTCGAGAATTTTTCACTCATTTGGAGACGCCACCACTTACCGGTGGAGAGCTGCAAATTTTCTCCTATACTCGACACTTACGGCCATTGAGCAGTGAGCGGTCTTTTTCGTGCCAGCACCTTCTGCGACACGGGACCTCGGTTTATACGGTCTCATCCGAAGGACCGGTCTCCACGTCCCACAGTGAGATTCGAACCCGCGTCATAAGGATCAACTCCTTACTTCGCGACTCTAGAGCAGACGCTCTAACCACTGCGCCAACCATTCCTTTGGACACTGTTAATCTCTCCTTGACCTTAACATTTGAACTGAGTATAAAAAAATTAACCTTTGCCTTACTTTTCAATAGTTAGTCCTAGCGGTTTCATATTTCAAGTTATATTCCCTGAGAGGAGATCTTTCTTTGGGTAACATAATTTTTTATCTCTTGACTTTGAACTTGGAGTTCGATATGGATTTGAGAAACTTAAACCTTTGCCATAAGCTGCAATACCGGGGCATCAGTGTTTCACAAACACGTCTTGTTCAATATCCAAACTTGACAAAAACATTCACAATGAATCCTTAAATCATTGTGTGGAACCTGATAAATTATTTGACTCGATCTAGTCTGAAAGAACATGGCTGAACTTATCCAGTCAATAACTCACAGATTGGGATTTTTCTTAACCAGTGTGTGTTATGGTCTTGATGAAAGGTCATTTGGATGAGAAACTATAAATTCGTTACTGTTTTTTTCTAGTTATAATAGCCATTTATTGATGTTCAAATTTTTGCGCCACTGTGTCAGTGTACTACGTCACAAATTTTTGAGTACACATATTTTTCTTGAGTACTGCACGAGCAGTGACATTCACTGGAAAGCATCGTTCTCTGGTCTGTACTGATTCAATGCATCTCTGGAATGTGAAGAAATTACTTATTCGGTAAGCCAATTATTTAAACACCAACACACCCATATTTACATGTATGCATTTTGTATTTTATTCATGAAACAGTATTTTTGATACTCAGATAATGGTCTATATAGTCGAGTATATTCGTTAATCATTACCTTATTATGTAAAATTACACTTATAGATTTATTATATTGAACACAGTAATTTTTAAATTATTTATAAGATTCATTGATAGGTCCTTTATGTATTGTTTAGGATAGATGTTAAATGCATTATGCTTAAACTGTGTATCTCAAGGGCAATTACTCTCATATTTTGTTGTAAACACGAGTTTCGAAAGTTAGATATTTTTTATGCATATTCAGTAATAAAATAGAACATAAACTTATAAAGTATTATTTTTTTGGTTATAATCTGTGATACTGATAGCATATATTCTGGTGTATATTACTAGTCTGAATTGCCTTAGCGTTGCCAATTACTAGTCCGAATTGCCTCTGTTTATTTGTATTGCATTGTGTTACAAGAATTTTTTGTTTACAATATTTTATTTTATTTACTTTACAGTAAATCGTATGATATGCCAATTAGAGGATGTCATTCGTATGACGTTTCATATGATGTGTCAATTGGAGGATGTCACTCAATAATTTTCGTACGCATGATGTGAATCTAAGAATCAATGGGAATTGAATAAAGACATACGCATTTACAATATATTTCTCTTTCTCTGGGCATTGACCAGTACACTAGTGAAACATTGTTGGTATCATGCAGAGTGTGACATGGCCTAAACTCATGTTCAAGGTCACTAAGGATAAGATATTTTGACTGGATGTATGGACTGCATGAACATGTGTGAATTTGAGAAGTCAGTAAAACACAGATGGGGTTTGCTCATAACCAGAGTGTTTCATGGCTTTCGCAAGGTCATTTGGACAAGTTCAAGGTCACATACATTCCTTTATCGTCTTTTTACTACAGAGTGAAACATTGTTAGTTGATACCCCTTACAAGATTGCTTATAACCTTATTATATGGCATGACCTTGACTCAAGGTCACTTCTTCCTGCCTGCAGCTCCAACGGAAGACCTACTCGTTGCTTTGTAACGAGCTCGGCTCTAGTTTTTTCTGCATTTCTGAACTACTGGATCAGTCCATTTTTAGGAAAGGGTTGACACAATCATTCTGTGCCAAATGTTATGAGTAAATATTCGCGCCTTTTTTGAAATGTTCTATTGAAAAGATATAATAAATTCTATGCAATTAAAAATAGCTTGTTCTTTTGATTTGATTCTCCGGTTTGAAATTTTTATTTATCGCATTTTCCTTTTTGAAATAACATAAACGAGTATATGGACAGGTAACACTAAGCAATATAATTGCTTATTTTTCATTTTCATTTAATTCCCTGATTTATCCCGTAAAGTGAGCTGGTCCAATTAGTTTTAATTGTCCTAAACAAAACGCCACTCCACAAATGATGTTGGGAACAAACATAGAAATAGTCACATCACGTGCGTTATTAAGATTTAAAATAATTCATTTATAATTCACAGAAAAAAATCTTAAGAGGAAGAACTGGCCAAATATGTATGCTGATAATTTTTACACTCTCTCGCTTATCATGCAGTAGTGCTGCATGTGCAAACACATTCTACATGTCTATCATAACAAATAAGAATTTGTTGAATCTTTAAATAAAACATTTTTGATATATATCATTAAAGTATGACATACTGAATGTAAAATAAAAGAAATCCAGAAATATGTCGTATGATAATCGAATCTGTTTTGTGTCATTTCACCCATACGCACTCTTCTTTAAGATTTGGATAAAAAAACATACAATGGATGTTTTGTTGGCATAAACATGTACAGGTTTACTTTGTTGGCCGAAGGAGATTTTCAATGACAAATTAAACAAAAATGAATTCTTTGTTAAATGCCCTTAGTCATTTTCACATATCTGTTTAACAGACCAAAAAAAAAATAATAATAATAAAATAAAAAAAAAATAAAAATAAAAAAAACTAAAATGTGAAGATAACGATCAGTGATAATTACAAAATCCTTTTAAACTATACAAATTATGAGCAGGGATCTCTGTAGACAAAGGGGGGATCAGATTCTATGACGACTTGGATTGATGATGAATTGGATCAACGATTTTAATCAAATGAAAAAAGTGAAAAAAGCCTGGAGGAAATGTTTAATTCACGATCTAATTAAAGAAAAAAATTAAAAAGCCTTTTTTGTCTTAAAAATTAAAACACGCTAATAGCAAACGCAGGCATTTCAGGATCTTTTGGGGAAAATTAAATTTATTGATCTCCTACTTTATTGTATGGTTAATAATGTCAAATCATACCAAGCTTATGGAGTGTCCTAATTTTACTTGTTTTTAAACAAACAAACTTTTGCGGCTGGTATGTCAACAGTTCTAAAAATTCTGTTGTGACAAAAATATCAGACAAACACATGCTTGAATAAACCTTTTTTTTTTCAATTTATATTACGGGTAATCAGTTTCATCGTCCATTTTCTTTGTATGGATAGATATCATTTACAATAAAAAAAATTCGAATCTTCTGGTCAATTTGAGATCACATAACATATAAGAAAAAAATTATGTAGTTAATGAAACATTAATCTACTGATAGTTCAACCAAATTTCAATGAAACATTGATGAAATGTTTTAATAGCTAAACTTTGCTTACATTTTCAACATATGGTATATGTGTTTATATGTCAACTATTCCCTGTGCATCATTTAACTTGCATTGTGTTTGGAATTACATTTACTAAAACACAGACCTGACCTATTGCCCCGTGCGATTTCTCTGAAAGAATACTTAATAATTGTCATTTATGCTTTCTGTGTTTTAAACACTGGTCACAGCAACGCCCTGTATAAATTCGTCATATCCATCAAGTCATATTTAGATTCTATCAGTGACAGCAGCGACACTAGCATTCCTTGGAACTCTAGTTCATTGCATGAACAACTTCTCTCCAGTTCAAACAAAAGGTATAGAACTTTTGACCTAAGTATCAATTCCTTATTCTGCAAATCTCAAAAAGAGGTGACATTTTTACTCTAACCAGAATATGAAAGAGAGTATTCAAGTATTTAAATTCATTTTCATATGCATTTTCTTGGTTAATCTTTACTTATTTTGATAATTTGAAAACTACCATGTAGTACTAAAAATTAACATTATCATCTGTGATTACTTTTTTTGTTTAGTTGAATTTAAAGTTCAAACAATTTAGTCGTACATTAATTTGTATAACAAACTTTAAACTGAGACTTGCAGCACTAAAATATTTGCAAATAACGAGTGCTTTGTCTCTGTATCATTTGAAAATGAATGTAACTGTGAAAGCCATTAACTGCGAAGTGATTGATTAATTGATCATATGTTCTTTTACGTCCCATTCTAGAATTTTTCACTCATATAGAGACGTAACCATATACCGGTGAAAGGCTTCAAATTCTGATCTTTACTCGGCACTCAGGGCCATTGAGCTTAGAGGGATCTTTATCGTGCCAACGCCTACCGTGACACGGGGCCTCGGTTTTTAAGGTCCCATCCAAAGGAACCGCAACTTTCACTCCAAAGTGCCGAGCGCTTGGCAAAGGAACAGTTGCTACCTATTTTTTTTTTATCGACGTAGGTCAGTCGCGGCTGTGATTCTAACACACGACCTTCAGATCAGGGAACAAACCCTCTACCGACTGAGCTACCTTGACGTTTAACTGCGAAATGTTATTTATATTCAGATTCAGCACATATCTTTTGTTTGTTAGAACAGACATGGAGCATGAGGAGTCAATGCAAAAATTTGGGGAAAAGGTTGAATAGCTGATGTGTTTTTCTTTCATATTTGAGAGTTATTCCATAAAAAATCAATATTACACATTTGTTGACTGGTTTCGAGGGCAACACGTGTTTTGTCGGACCCAAGAACCAAAGTGTTTGCCTGAGGCCGTTAGGCCGAAGGCAAACAGTTCGTTTCGAGGGGTCGACAAAACGCATTTTGCCCGAGAACACAGTCAATAAATGTTTTGTTATACCTTTCATTTATTTATTTATTTATTTATTTATTATTATTATTATTATTAATTAACATGAATACATATATGTCGAACACCAACGAATGCAAATAAGATTTAGCTGACCCCGGCCATTGTGTGATGTAAGCGGTCCAACATCTCATCGACAGGTCCAATATCTCACTCCGCGGTCAAACATCTTTTTTTTAATGACTGCTCAGCAAAACATTGGAAATGTTAGACTTTTATTAGTATTGATTTATATAGGAACAAATTTTTAAAGGTATAACAATTAATTTTGTTTCTCTAATATTATTAAGTTATCTGTAGAAATTGGCGCGCACCATAATCAATACTTTTAAAACACTAAATAGAAATTCTAATCTTTATTGATAGCATTTTTCTATCAATTAAATTTATCCCCATTGATTTTCAGAAAGTATCCGAGGTACCCATTCCTAATGAACACAATCATTGAAATACCGCAGAATGAATTCCTTGAATAGATTATTTCTTTAACTATTTCGTGATTCCAGCTTCTCGAGTTTTCGAGTTGACGTCCAGCTTCAGTTTATCGTCAATTTCGTTGGTCTAACAAACGCCTTTTCACAGAGACGCTAGCGACAGGTCACATTGCTTTAGACAAATCTCTCAATGATGGAATAAGACGTTCTTAACGAAATATTTGTGGCATGTATGATATGTTTGCAGATCTGCAAATTGTGCTAGTAAAGTAAATGAAGAAAAGAATAACGAATATAATTTAGAGTTTAGGATGAAATCTACAGAGCCATTCATACATGTTATTTTTATTTGAATTTTTTTTTCAATTTTACGCACGAAATCCGCGTGCTTCACCTGTCAATCAAAATTACTCGAGGCGCTTGACTGCTTCTAATGCCGAATTATTTCTATTTCCTATGTGAGAATATCACAATGTTTTGTGTGCTTGTCTGAACGGGGGTGCCGCAGGGATCTACTCCTATTTTTATTATATATAAATGACCTTCCTCTAAATGTGAATTATTCTAATATTGATATGTTTGCAGACGACGCATTGACCTAACAGCAATGTACATAACATTGAAACATATATAAATTCCGATTGATGTAAAATTGAATTAAATGATTCTGAACACAGCCAAATCAAAATGTATGCTTATGTGTACACAACAAAAGAGATCAAGGTTAAATAACCCAGTACTTTATGCAAAAATTACTGGCAAAAAACTGGAAAACATTGAAGTTGAAAAACTCTAAGATATTCAGATAGATCAAAATCTTCAGTATAATTGTCATATTGATTTGATTTGTAAATTCTTAACAAACAAGTTATTAACCTTCGTAAAATTAAGAACTTTCTTCCATTAAGTACCAGAAAACTCCTCTAAATTGCTTACATTCTGCTATCAATTAGTTATTGTCTCACCGTTTGAGGAAATGCGACTAAATCTAATATTGAAAGAATTCTTAAACTTCAGAAACGGGTTGCTAGGAAAATTCGTGATGCAGCACCTGACCAACTGTCAAAGCCTTTGTTTGAAGAACTAGGATGGTGAAATGTATTTGAGTTAGTTACATTTCATTAGTGTATTTTATAGTACAAAACATTTTGTGGTATGAGCTCTGAGTATCTACAGGATTTTTTTCTATATTCTTCAAAATTATGCGTATTGACTTACATGTATTTATTGTCCTATATTTTCATAAGTTTGTACATTAAATCTGATTACTCAGTGAAATAATGAGCTTATCATTTCATGTACAGTATATAATATATATGTTTAATTGTAGTATTTAATGTATATCGTTTGAAATGTAGAAGGCCTAGGGGAAGAATAGTACTTACTTTGTACTAATCGGGTTACCTTCAAATAAACAATTATTTTTATTATTATAATTATTTTTATTTATAAATATGGCAATGAAAATTCTCTTTTATTCAGTATATTCATATATGATAATAAATACACTGTAAACACAACTGTAACCTTTTTATCTTTAATTTGTTTCAACTGTGAATATCAAGTACACGAAGTACACGAAATGACAAATCTTAATTCGCACCATACGCCATTACGCATTTCACAACATTTTTTCTAGATTATGTGCGCGTTGTTTAAGTGCATGTTGGTTATTCTATTTATTCTTTTTTGCTTTAGAAAAGTACCCTTTTTTAATCTTACGAAAACAAAAAACAAACAAGCAAAAAAAAAAAAAAAAAAAAAAAAAAAAAAAATTGCAATCGATGCAAAGAAATTTGATGCAAATACATGTCATGCATTTTTTTTCCTTTTCTGTAAATTTAATCGCTGACCCTAACCAACTTGGTACTGTACAATCAATCATATCTTCTTCTCCCTCATCAATTAGGGTGCCACTTATATATTTCTTTTTTCATACTTATTTATTTATTTATAAGAATGTTATTGTAAATAAAAAACAGAAAATATCCTCTTGCATTCTCGTTCAATGATCATAATGCATAATTATCACTATGCACTCATGTACATCCATGTGAAAATTATAACAAAATATTTCTATTTCAGTTTATTTACAACACTTACATCAAGAGCTCCTTAAATGTATAATATTATCAAGATTTATAATTTCTGAAAATTATTAAACAGAAAAAATCCGAAATATAAGTGACAATATCAATGTCCACTTTATCAGAGTAGTCTAAGTACTACGTACGTGTTCGTTAAATCATACTAAAATAGAAAATCATTATTATAACAGAGATAGAACAATGTCTCCTTTATCAATGTCGTCTTGATACTATGTGCCTTTCAAAATCAGATTAAAATAAAATATGATCATTAGAATTAAACGGATAGAACAATGTCTCTTTTTTCAGAGTAATTATAATACTACGTACCTTTTAAAAATAAATGAAAATAGAAAATCATGTTTATTACACCGATAAAACAATGTCTCATTCGTCAGTACTCTTAATACTATGTTTCTTTCAAAATCAAATTAAAATAAAATACCAGGATTAGAATTACACAGAAAGAACAATGTCTTTATAAGCAGAATAATATTTTAAGCGTGCATGGTACAGCAATCTCTGGCTTCTCTTATTGGACTAGTGTTGTTAGCGTGCATGGATCAGCAATCTCTGGCTTCTCTTATTGGACTAGTGTTGTTAGCGTGCATGGATCAGCAATCTCTGGCTTCTCTTATTGGACTAGTGTTGTTAGCGTGCATGGTACAGCAATCTCTGGCTTCTCTTATTGGACTAGTGTTGTTAGCGTGCATGGATCAGCAATCTCTGGTTTCTCTTATTGGACTAGTGTTGTTAGTGTTGTTAGCGTGCATGGATCAGCAATCTCTGGTTTCTCTTATTGGACTAGTGTTGTTAGTGTTGTTAGCGTGCATGGATCAGCAATCTCTGGTTTCTCTTATTAGACTAGTGTTGTTAGCGAGCATGGAACAGCAATCTCTGACTTCTCTTATTGGACTAGTGTTGTTAGTGTTGTTAGCGTGCATGGAACAGCAATCTCTGGTTTCTCTTATTAGACTAGTGTTGTTAGCGAGCATGGAACAGCAATCTCTGACTTCTCTTATTGGACTAGTGTTGTTAGTGTTGTTAGCGTGCATGGAACAGCAATCTCTGGTTTCTCTTATTGGACTAGTGTTGTTAGTGTTGTTAGCGTGCATGGAACAGCAATCTCTTGTTTCTCTTATTGGACTAGTGTTGTTAGCGTGCATGGTACAGCAATCTCTGACTTCTCTTATTGGACTAGTGTTGTTAGCGTGCATGGATCAGCAATCTGGTTTCTCTTATAAGCGTCCAGCAGCTTCTTTTTACAATCCAAATACAATTCTTTTGATTAAAAAAAAATATAAAAAATAATTTTAGTAATATAAAGGTTAGGAATATATATCTTTTATACCCCAAAATTAAAAACAAATCCCTGAAATTATTAAAAAGTAAACAGTGTTTATTCGGAATGAATGATGTGTTTATATTTACCTAGTGACGTTTGATCAACATCATCGTCTCCGTCACAAATGTTGCGGATGTTACTGTAGGAGACCATGGGTTGAGCCAGTACCTCGAGGACCATAGACCATTGAGATAGGCGTGGTGACAGGCGTTAAACCACCATCCTCCTCTTTTGTTAGAATAAGCAGCACAGCTCCGGTCACTCCATCCGTCATTGTCTCTGTCCGGGGTACTAAAGTACATCCCAGACAGTACTGTTTTAGCATTTCTTGTTTTTAACATCCTGTCACCTGCAGAAAAAAGTTAATCATTAGGAATTAAAACTTCTTCACAGGTACTGTTTTTCTTTTAGACCAGTGATTTATTTTCAAAAGATGTCGCCATATGAATATTTATTAGAAGTTCATTCATACTTTCTTTACAGCCTAATCTATCGTTGTTTAATTTATTGTTTCTTCTTTCTCATACATAATTTCAAACAAAAATAAGTGACGATGTAATTGTTATTTTCTGCAACACTGAGTATAATGTTCTTTGAAATCTAATATTTTATTTTTTAAGCAGAATTTATTTTTCTGCAAAAACTTATGCTCCCATCCTCCATTTTTGTGAGAGTTAATTGATTACAGAATTATTTATATAAAGGCAGTTTGTCCCCTCCCCTACACATTTGTTGCTTTAGTACCTTCAAATATCTCACCTTACCGGTATTTATATCCAAACAAAGATTGCGTCTTTTTTCAGGAACTTTTAGCGGTTGTCTTTTTATTCGGAAGTGTTTTTGCTTGTTAATAATCCCCCCATTCCCACAATTCAACACTCGTTTGGAAATCGACGCTTCACCCCGGGTCTGTTTATTCGTGTATGTCAATATAATAAACTAGCGGTTGAAATGGCTAAATACATTTTAAAAAGTGTTCTTCAGATAACCCTAACAAAAATTTACTATAGTTGACTATTGTAAATTATAGTTAACCATATTTAAAACTTTGATACTTTGATTGACTATGAATTTTTAGTGATTTCAAAGCTTAAAATCTCTTTAATTCGAAAACAGTTATAAATTTGGAAATGATATGTGAATATACAAGTTATAGTTCCATTTAATATTAAAAAAAAATCTGCATGTATGATTTGGAGAACATAGAAAATAAAAATCTGAAATCTATAGTAAAATACTTTGATTTACTATAGCAAAAAACTCGTTTTACTAATAGTTAAAACTTTGATACTACAGTAAACTATCTTTAATTATAGTAAAGTGTAGTTAACTATAGTATATTTTGTTAGGGAAAGAAACATTTATATTAAAAAGAATACGTATATACAATGTATCTGCACAGAGTTCTCTCTCTCTCTCTAAAAAAAACAATATATACATGTATGTATCACCGAAGAAAATAAGTGTAAGACTTACGTGCAACAATGAAAATGAAACATAAAATTGCTAACGGAAAGTGCGCCAGAACTCATTGTTAAACGTCAACGTAAGAAATATGGCGTCATATTTAGACCAGTGCATATGTAAAAATAAAGACTATTAAAGATATTATTGTGTTTACACATGCGGTATATGATTAATTAAAGAAAAAGTAAAATTATTTATTGAAAATGGACATTTTTATCGGTTTGGCGTTGACACAGTGAACGACAGGTCCTGCCAGAAAGAGTTGATATTTCTCTGTTTCATCGGAGACAGAGAATTGATCATACAACTCGTACAAGCTCGAACCATTCATTAGTATAATGGAAACATAGAGGGAGGAGTTGTGTCCCTTTGTTAACTGATGGATTACGTCATTTCCTGTATTAAAGTGTATTAGAAATTTATTGATAAGTGTACTGAGAAATAACTAAAGAAAAACACGGTTATAACGAATGCCAGGGATGGTCGATTTTGTTTCCTTATAAACGTAATTTGTTAAGGTGTCTTAAAAGCAGATCTATTTTCAGCCAAATTCGAAATTTCTCTATAATGTTAATTTGTCCTATTGAGGATAAAACGTTTATGTATTTACCGATCCAGACGTTCTGTGCCGGGTCACCAAAACCATTCTTATAATCTGTCCAATTCCTGTCAAAGCTCAGGGATCCATCTATTCGTTTTTGAATTACCTTGAAAAGATATACATATAAAATTTATTATCATTTTGTCACATAATTGCATGAACCACATGTTACGTAACATATACCATCCCAATCCATTGGACACAAAATCAACGAGATTTCCTTAAACAAGACAAGCAACAGTTATGGAATCAACTATTTACCGTCCATCCTCCGTCCATTGTTATCATATCACAGTACACTCTGACAGGACGGGAGCTGTTCTCAAAAGGATAAATTTTGTACACACCTGTATTAGTGTAACCATTATCACGAAGATCCTTGCAATCTAAAGGTAGAACTGAAACAAAGAAATGCAGAAATTACAAATTAATACTTACGAATGATAATTTAATGATTCAAACAACGAAAGATTTATACAGATAATAAGAGGTAGATGCACAGTATTTGTATAATATACCATAGATCATTGCTTTTACAGCATTGTCACTGTAAATACATTAAGTACTCATGTTAACTTTTTCTTAGGCCTATAAATTCAAAATAGCATGAAATCAATCAAAATGAAAATTTAAAACTGTTAAAAGATGAAGATAATATAAAAAACACAAATGAAAATTGTAACGGATTCAGAATAATTGAGAATCCTTATCAATTGCTGAGACAACAGGGTAATTTTGAAGTTACTCCACTAAATTAATGTTCAGTAAATAAAAATAAATCTCTTGGACTTGCTTTAGATGCAATTATAACCGCTATAACGTATTTCATGTTTTGTGGGAGAAAGCAATACATACAATCATGGGAATAATATCTCCATCCGGTCTCGTTTGATGTTCCGGAAGTGAAGGTCCTCCTGTGTACACGGCACTTCTTTAATCTTGTATTGTAGCCAAAAAAGCAACATGTAAACTCTCTTTGACAATTCAGGGCACACTCGATTAACGACTCAGAGCTGCTTTCTCTCAAAAGTTCGTTACTTGATTTTTTATTATCAAATAACAGTTTTGCAATAAATTTCCGCGTTATAAAGGTAACCTGAGACACCGTTAAGAAGAAGACAATCAACCAGATAACACAAAGATTACTCATACTGTGCTCTGTGTTTAGAACAAACTACTGCGTATCTGGAAGACTTTGTAATTTGATGCTGCAAGTATAAACAAAGAGCTTTGAACTTTAACGGAAAAATGATTGGCTAGTCCTGACGTATTCTGTATTTTACTTTCACTGAAATATTTTTATTGATGAAAATGATTGGATGTCCTAAGCATAAATTATTATGAAATCTGAAAGAGACATTAACATTTCAATGGAATCTTGATAATTAATAGCATGGGAGGATATATTCACGTACCCTCGGATTGGGTATTAGGAAAGGAAATGATTAAATACGTATATTTTTTCTTCATTTTTTAGGCTAATTTTGAAAACTCAATTCTAATTTACAACTTGTTTGAAGGTTATAGAACATTCACATAGAAATAATCAAAAAGAAAGCTTTTTTTTTTTTTTAGTAGGGCTTCACTTTTAGAAGTACTTTTGTGATATCACTGAACTTATATGTACAGAAGCAAATTCAATCTGGTAATTACTTTTGTGTTTACTGAATATTTTATCTTGTTATTCTTAACTTAAAGTGCTTGTATGCTGTACGCAGATATTACATTTTCGTTAACATCAATTTTTTTCCTCAATTAAATAAACAACATCGTCACTTCGAAAGAATTAATTTATATTTCTGCTTTGTTTTTACAATTGTAAATGCATTTTTAAGAGAATAATGTAAGTTTCTTTTTTTCATAAATTGTTTAACAAGTTTCTTTTTGTTTAAGGTATTAAATGTACCGGGGGGGGGGGGGGGATTAACAAAAAGTTTGCGAACTAATTGGATAACTTCCATATTAGAAATAAAATTAGATTTCGATGTTTATTAGTTTTAAAGAAGTCCCTTCCAATTCTATTGCAGATCTGCCACCGTTTTGCACATGCGCGAATCACGTGATCCAGGCGGTCACGTGACGAGCTCCATAGCGTTCTGTTCACAGAATCTAAAAAAAATTTCTGAATCATATTTCTTACAATTAAATTATTTTTTTAAACAAGATTTGTACGTTGGTCATAAATGGACATATCTCGGCAATAGGAGGGGTTATAAGGATATCTTTTCCTCCGAATGAGCATGGTGACCATTACAACCCAACTTCTCTGTCTTGGGTGCGTCGTTTTTCCATTGTGGATAAAGTATGGGCGCCTTCTTTTTATCATATCTGATATGTTTAGATTCTAAAGTAAGAGGTATTTTAGGGATTTAATAATTGTATAATATTCTTAAAATATTCAACTATATTTCTTACTGTAACTTGGCGATCTTTCATAACAAATTGCTCAACTAAGGACACATCTCTTCCCCCGCTTACTTTCACTGGACACCAGAACAAACATCATTTTTAACCACGGTGCCTCCCTTTCTTCACTAAAACAATCAATTCAATAAATGATTGAACTCCCGGCAAGTCCTCTGTCTTAAAAAAACCTTGTACAAATTATTATATGCTACTCCAAAGGAATTTCCAAGATATAACTGAACTCAACATCCTTTCGTTGCTCGGGTACGACTGAGTCAGCCATTTTTTGTAACAAGTCATCTACGTCATTTTCATATTGTGACTTCACAAACATGGAGCAAAACATTACGTAAAATCTGCTATGTATAGAGCATGTTTATGACTCTATGTGTGCCATATTTCATTCTGATCTGAACTGTGGTTTTGTAACTATAGAGATAATTCGCAAACTGTTTGATCACCCCTCGTATAATGAAGAGATATTGAACAATTTTGAATCATTTTAAGCTAGTTAAATACGTATTTCTAGATAACGAGGAAAGTGAAATAAACCAAATTCACATGACAGATAACATATAAGAAGCCGGTCATTTTGCACCTTATACATTTTTTTAGTTATTTGCTCTCGATAAAAAAAAAGAAAATTTTAAATTTTGTAAAATTATCTGCAGTAAATTATTCATTTTATTTCATATTTAAATAAAGATAGCGTTTATGCATACTTTCACCAAGAGATTTATATGAAGTCCAATTATTATTGATGCAATTAATTAATCCTCGTTAGGAGGTGGGCGGTAACTTTTTTTTAACCACAATACCCCGATTTGAGTATGCTGCAAACAAAACGTTGGGGGCAGCCTTTCAATTAACATTTTTCAACACTAAGAGGTTTGGAAAAAAAGTGGGGGGTAACCCCATCCCCCATACTTCTTGTCTTCAAATACGTCAAATCGCATTCTGTCATTTATTGTTTTTCTTCTTAGGTGTCTAAAACAAGGGTACATATATAAAACACGAGAAAATACTTACTGCTTATTCTACACAATAGCATCTACGTCTTTTTGAACAAAAATTTACGCCGTCATTTAAGACTTTGTAGTTCAAATCCCACTGTGGGACACGGAGACCGGTCCTTCGGATGAGACCTTATAAACCGGTGTCGCAGAAGGTGCTGGCACGAAAAAGATCCCCTCACTGTTCAAAGGCCCTGAGTGCCGAGTATAGGTCAAAGTTTGGTGCTCTCCGCCGGCAAGTGGTGCTCGTCTCCAAATGAGTGAAAATGTCTCAAGAGGGACGTTAAACAACAAACAAACAAAAAAATAAATGAAACTTTGTAAATAAGAGGATTAAAATGAAATATAAATTAAAATCAATCTTAAAACATGGATATCTAAAGGAATCATAATTGAGTTTGCAAGGTACAATTAAAATTGTTCTCTTATTTCTAAAAACAATAAAAAGTGCTTGTACTGAAGTTTGTAGAAGCCCATGATGCATTGCAACTGATTCAACTAATATGTCAATAGGTTAAGGACACAGTTATCTCATTCAAAATGCAAATTTATGCTGAAGCCATCTAAGTAGTCTCGACCTGTTTTCATGCAGACAAATCGTCCCTATTTAGAAAAAAATAAAATTCATTGATATCTGTTGCTTTCTATGTTTATGTTCTATGATTAATCACCATCATTTGTAACATGTAACCTAATAAAAATTCTCAATTTGACTAGTGTGCTCTAAAGTTGATATTAAAAGGATGCTGGAGTTCCTCATTGACATTTATGTTGTTATTCTATGATAAACGATAGATTTTCCGTCGTCAACTTTCCTTATTTATGTAGTAATATTCAGCTATCACCCGCATGTGGTGTTTATGTCGCCCAACTAATTCGCTACTCAAACGCTTGCTCAGAGTACGATCAATTTTTGAAGCGAGACAGGCTACTCACTGATAAGTTGATGTTACAGGGATTTCAACAGCCTCGTTTTAAGTCAGCATTCCGTAAATTTAATAGTCTTTATTATGACCTTGTTAGCAAATATAAGCCATCATTGGCACGTATTTTTGCTGACTTGTTCTATACCAATTGTTAGGCCTTTATTTCTGTTCTGAATTGACTACAGATAGTTCCGTCTATCTTTTCAATACATAGGGCTCACGGTGGGTCTGACCGGTCAACAGGGGATGCTCACACCTCCAAGGCACCTGATCCAACCTCTGGAATTTCCAAGGGTCCATGTTTATTGCCCTCTTAACATATTTTGAGACCGAACACTGTTCGTTATCTTTCCCTTTTACACTTTTCGATCTTCAACTTTCCGTATTTATAAAGTTATACCCCAATATCACCTGCATATGCTGTTTACATCTCCAAACTTATTCGATACTCACGAGCATGCTCGGAGTGTGCTCAATTTTTAACCGAGGCAGGCTATTAACAGATACATTGATGTAACAGGGATTTCAACAACCTCATTTTATGCCAGCATTTCGTAAATAATTTTATGGCCGTTACCTTGTTTACTTTGTTAGCAAATATGACCTGTCAGTTGGGTCGAACGGTAAATAAACTGACAAGACTTAACGGACTTTTTTTTTTTTATCTAGGGAATGTTAAGGATGATCTTTTATGATGTAGATTTTTCAATGACAAATAAAAAAAATGAATCCTTTGTGAAAAGCCCTCGTCAATATTAGTGTCTCTGGTTTAATCACCAAATCTGCTGTTTGATGTTTTACAGACAAAAAAGAAACAATTATAAAATGTGAAGATAACGATTATTCACAAAGTCCCTTTAAACAAAACAATAATATGTAGAGCCATCAGAGGTGGAATCGGGGACCAGGGAGACAGTGGTGAATTCAATCAACATTTTTTTATTTAATGCCTCTGAATTACAAGAAAAAGGCCTGAAAGAAATGATTAATTCACGATTTAATTTCAGAAAATTCAAAGAAGCCATATTAAAATATTTTTAAATATTTCAACACGTTAATAGTATCTAACCAGGCATCTTGCCTTTGAAAATAATTAAGCTAATGGATTTCCATGTTTAGTGTTTATGATTAAAAACCGTCAATTCCCACGTCACGTCAGGCTTATGAAGTGTACAAATTTAAGATTTCCAAAGAAACAACCTTTTCTGACAGTTTTAAGAATTCTTTTAGTGATAAATGGTAGACAAAGACGCATTTTTGTTTAACTTTACATAATGGGCAATTAACATGATTGGCCAAGGGTTTGTGAGAAGACTTGCCGATCAGAAATCCATGGTTAGCAAAGACGAGCAAATGCATGTGACATAAATTAGATGAATGAAATAATTATAATTCAAATGCCACTTAATTTGGTTTCTATGCACTGTCCATCTTGTGAAGTTTATTCATGCTTATTAAATGACAAAAACTGTTTAACAAGTGACACAGTGAAGACAAGAAATCTGTTAAAAATTAGAAAAATAATAAAGATAAAGATAATTCTTGTAAGAAAAGACAATTGTTATTTTTTTCTTATATTCTTATTGACAAAGGAAAGACTTCGTTTTTGAAAATGATGCAATGTCTTCCCTAACAAAAAAAATACTATACTAACTATAGTTTACTGTAGTGATAACTTTGACACTGTGAAAACTTTGGTTTACTATAGTGATAACTTTGACACTTTGATTTACTAAAGTGATAACTTTGCCACTTTGATTTACTAAGAAATAACTATGAAAACTTTGATTTACTACAGTGATCACTATGAAAACTTTGATTTACTATGATGAAAACTTTGATTTACTATAGTGATAACTATTACACTACAGTGATCACTTTGAGAACATTGATTTACTATAGTGATTACTTTGACACTATATAGTGATCACTTTGAAATCTTTGATTTACTATAGTGATAACTTTGACACTTTGATTTACTATAGTTATCTATAGTAAACTATAGTATTTCTTGTTAGAGTTTATAATTAACTGTATAATTTATGAAAGTTTGTTGATGTTGCTTGCATTTACTTTTTACCATATTTATTTAATTGTATGCATCACCAAGGTTATTTAAGGAATGTTTTTAAGGTTTGTATGAGTTATTGGTGTGTAAATCACACAGACTTGTCACGTAGGCATATTTCATGAAGAGCGGTAGCGCTTCATGGAAAATATACCTACGTGCAAGTCTGTGTGATTTACACACCAATAATTCACATTAAACTTAAAAACATTCCTCATATTTACATTTTACATTCTAAAGGTTCAAAAGCACCAAAAATACACTCAATTATTCGCTGCCTTTTATCGTTACATTTTTTAGCGTCTCTGTAGCTCATTGTGACGTCACTTTGGCGCGAGTTTCTACGCGTGAGTATACACGAAAATGGCATTCAAATCAATTTCACAGTTTGCTTAGTAGAAAAACACAGCAAATGTAAATATATACATGTAATCATATCTTACAAATCTATATCAGTTCTTTGAAATTATAGAAATATTGAATGGAATCAAGATATGCAAAATAAAAAAAGAACAATTCATTTTTGTGATACATCTTAAGGTTTTGTTGTTCACAATTTTATATGTCAGTTATTAGATGATACGTCCATAATAGTTGCAGCATTTCAAAATTGATAAGTACTTGCACCGAGAAGTGGACAAGTCGTATATTTTACTAGAGAACTTCCATTTGGATGTTTCCTTTCACTTTTCCTTCTGCAATACGGCAATTAAATCTTCCATCACGCAATGCCTTTTGTTTCTTACTCCATTCCATACACATTGATTACATTGTCTATCCATTAGAGATATTACGATGGTACGGTGGTATATTCAGGACCGATGTTTACACAAACAAGTAAGAGCAGGGGACCTTAACACGGCAGCGGATATCACCTTGAGAATTTGTCTACTAAGTAGTCCCAACCCTACAGCGCATACATTTTTAATGATTGAAGAACAACCTCAAAAGTCCATTGAAACAATACCAGTGGGTGAATGAGTAAGTACGAGCCTCTGAAAACATATGTGGAGGGATCAAGTGTCATGGAGAAGTTAGCAACACATGTCAAACCCTCCGTGTGCTCCTTGTCATAACTGGGCAAACGAAAATATCTGCAGACAATTTAGTAAGAAAATTATGACCTAAAAATTTGTGTGAAAACGTCAGTAAATATTGTACTGAACGATAAATTGTCTTTGCCGACAAGGTCATTGCGTCGGCCATATAAAATTTGTTTATCTTCTTGTATCATCATCTTATTTGTCAAAAGCTTGTATCGTTTAAGAAATTGTTCGTATAGAGAGTATGCTCTTGTGTATCGAATCCACCGGGATATAAACTCCATATGCAGGTGATTTAAGGAATCACTATCTAGTTAGTATAGTATGCCAGGGCATCAACGATAGTTGGAAACGTGGGATAATTTGCATAACGGGCGAAGCCCGTTATGCATAAATTGTCCCACGTTTCCAACTATCGTTGATGTCTCTGCCTCGGTTGCAATGATCAAGAAATCAACTCAACTTCTTTTCAAAGAGTCATCACAGAGAAAACAAATAGAAATGGAAATATTATGGTATATTGCTACAGAAATAAGGGAAGTTGAGATAGAAAAATTGAAATCATCACGTTTGTCAAAATTTTTTGTAAGGTTACGGTTACATCTTTTTCTAGTACAAAATCAAAATATCGAAGAGATGTGTCAGACTGGTTTCTTTTCTTTTCGAGTTTAAAGAATATATCGAATCAACGTAGGAATGAAAAGAAATATTGTTAATTTATAAAACAACGTCGATATATCTAAAAATTGAATTGAAGACAACAGCAAGAGGCTTTTCTTTCTTTTAAAGTAGAAGTTTTTAAATAAATTCTGGTACAGAAAAATACAAAAAATGTTTCAGCGAATAAGGGGTCGCAATCAGTATTCAGTAATAATCTCCTATTGGAATAATACAACAAATTTCTGACACCAGAAACTTTGAAATAACTGCAATGGGTAACTTGTCAACAACAAAACGGCTGTAGGTAACTTGTCTACAACATAACGGCTATAGGTAACTTGTCTACAATATTACTGCTATAGGTAACTTGTCTACAACATAACTGCTATGGCAACTTGTCTACGACATAAATGTTATAGATAACTTGTCTAGAACGTAATGAACACAGGAGTAGACAATGACAAGAAGGAAAATAAGGACTAATAATTGACTACTCAAAGGTCTAAATAATTACACTCTGGTAAAATAAACTATGAGTAATATTAAGATTTTTTTTTTACTTTGAAAGTTATCCCTCTTGTCAGAGGGTCGGGTCCCTTAAAGGGTTTTTAATCGGGAATTTAAATTTCTAACAACTGAAACACAATTATATTCTTGACATATATAATTATTATTTTATCATTTAATATTTTGAAAACAGTCTTAATTATGTTAAAAATCGGTCGTATTATAGGGTCCTTGATAAAAGACATCTGGCATATGTGTACAACCGCCCACCCGGATTTTCATCAGTATCTGTAGAATCTCCCAAGTGATTTGTGTAGAGTGGTTCCTTAATGTCACATATTTATTTGCGCCGGAACTCATGTTTTTTTTCAGTTCTCTCAAATTCTCTCTGCCTCGGTTGCAAAAATGTATCAGAAAATCGAGAAACACCTTGTTAAATTTTGAAGATCACTCGCGTCATCTAGATCGAACGCTTCAATGCTGTGTAAAGTACAGCCATGTCGTCAGCTTCAATCGGAGGTTTGTGTTCACATGATCCCATTCATACTTGTGTCGCTTACTGATTTTTATTTGAAAATTAAAATAAGTACACGACTATACCCAAAAATAATTTAATCAGACTATTTCTTGTATTTGAATTTTATAAACTAAAAATTAATGTGATAAAATCTAGATAGTTATGAATGTCAAAAATAACCATTTTTGCTTCGTGATAAGTTTTATCTTCATGGCTTGGAAAACAAGATTTGCTGGCTTAAATGACTCGGTATTAACAATGTCTATTTCTCTTATTTTGTGAAAATGGCGCTTTATATATCCATATCGTATTTTTCGACATCGCCCTTTCCCTTTCAATGCACGTTTTCAACAGTAAAAGGTTACTTTAAAAAAAAAAATTCCTGACACTACGAGCCTGGCTGTAGTCTAAATATGAAAATTTCATTAAAGGCTGCTTGACCCCTTCTTTGTTGTCGTAACTAAACCTTATAAATAAATAAAAACAACAAAGACACCCCACCACGGAATAAGATTTGTTCCTCTTTTTCACATCGGGATCGACCTTCAAAAAAATTATATTTTTTATTCCGAGTTTTCTCAAGTTTTGCTACGCAATGGTGACTGGCCTGAATGGTGGAATAGTGTTAATATAAATTGAAAGCAGTCTTGATGCTGTTTGACAAAGATTCCATAGATTCTATTCAGCAGTATATCACCAAGCTGACGGAATTTTTGTCAATTTATACATGGATTGTGGACGCCTATGTATCGGTAAATTACAATACAAGGTCCAGTACAATCATTACATTTAGCCACGTACCTTGATTTACCTACCGTAGGTTTATTTAGCTACTTGAGGAAGCTTCATTTAGCTATTTCAATGCAAGTTTTCACAGTCTTGCTTTTTATAAAAAAAAAAATGCAAATAGGAATCAGGTTTTAGTATATAGGTCCCTGTATGAATTTTTAGAACTTTGATTCCAAATTTGTGATGAAAGAGACACAACTGTACTTGTAATTTTAAAAAAAAAGAATGATTTCGTAGCTAAATAAAGCTACTTCAAGTAGGTTAATAAAGCTGTGTAGGTAATTCAAGCTACGTTGCTAAATTTAGTGATTGTACCAGACCTGTTTGTACTTCACTGTTGACAAAGTGCTGATAGGTATATATATGTATTTATCTTTGTGAAATTTACAGTGTTTGTTTTGTAGGATTACTTCACCCAGAATCACTGGGATAAACTCCCCTCATTGTGGACAGAATCCCTGCTTAACACAGAACCTACAGAACTGGTGTGGCTGTTGACAGATGAAAGGTGAAAATTGTGAAGATCTTGTTTTTGTATTAGAACTTCCTGAATGAAAAACAACAACAACAACAAAAATAAAACTAAGTTACAACATAGCTGCAGATCTGTAGCTTGCTGGTCTGAATAAAATGGGATGGATGACCGGAGAGCTATAGAACCACCCATTGAAGAAAGTGTATATAATCAGAAACCTATATACTAACGGGATAGATAACTCTCGCAAGCCTGCGATATCTCGTAAGTTGTGGGATTTCGTAAGTCAATTTTAATTAAATACTACTATATCTCTTTTGCTATCAAATATTTCAGAATAAAACCTTAATTTGTCTATCAAAAAATTATTCGAGATTTGTTGTTAGCACTGTTTTTACTCCTTATCTTAGTAGTAATTACGTTTATTTGAAAATCAGTGGGTGCCCCTGATTGGCTGTACTTTGGTGGTTGTTTCCTTAATATCTAAATTATTTTATATTACTAGTATGTGCTTTAAAATTTATTTAAAATCCATTTTGATACACAAAAAGATCAGATTACATTAATCAGAAAACAAGCTTTTTACTGGGAAAAAACATAGTTTGAAAAACTTGCAGTGTTGTGTGTGACGTTTTGGGTAAATAAACATGGTGCTGAAGGAATTGTCTATCCCGTTAGTATATAGGTCCCTGATATAATGTACATTTATGTTGTTGGATGTTTGTCCTGTCCAATCAGGGAGAATAAAAAGCCCTCTACCTAAGAAGAACAAACATGTACTATTATAATAATTACTTATTTTCTAGATCCGAATTTAATTTACATGATGTTTCTGAAATTTATGAGCTCAGAGAGGTAAAATGAAAAAAAAAGAATTAAGAGTCATTATACCTTTTTGTCTTAACTTTACCTGAATCAAAATGAAATAATTTGCTCATTAGCTCTGACTACAGAGACCCATACCTGCATTTGTTTCAGTTTAAAAGATAAAAAAAAAGCCTTACCATAAATGACCTGATAGGGAAAAAATTCAAAAACACAAAAGCACTAAAAATTTGCACTAGTCAAGGAAGTAAAACAAGACTTTGAATAAAAAAAATCCTTATTTCAGCCCAGTATCCAAGGTTTGGCCTCTCTCACTTCTGGCCTTCAGACAGTGCACACGTACTTACTCACTACCAAGGTCACAACAAGAGGTCAAAGTGCAAGACTTGTTAAAACTTTACTTGCAGAGACATGGACAAGGTGAGACAAAAATTTTGTTTCACAAAAAAAACCCAGCAAACAATATTTTCTTTCTAAAGCTGCCACTTTTATTCTTATCAAACAATAAAATTGATAAGGACTCCATTGTATTTTCAGATCAGAAAAAAATCAGCTTGGTTCCTCAACCAGTCACAAATCCGGACAGGTCCTACAATGAGTATCTCAGAAAGCATGTAAAACCAAAGAAACTTCACGAAATCAGAAGTCTGGGGAAGGTAAAACTAGCTTACTGTGCTACAATTAGATTGTGCTTCAATGATTACTCACATATTGATTTGTTGAGGGATCAAGGAATAATTAATCACTTATTTCATGGCTTTAGAAGCAAGTGCTATATGCAATATTCTTTACACATTACAAACATTTTGTTAAAGAGCTAAATCCACGAAGGGGCTAAATCGGCCTATTTTTTCAGGAAAATTAAACTTAGGGGAAGAAGAAAATTAACAATAGAAATATTATCCTTGGGTATCAAACTTAAAAAGTTTATGCCAATTTTTTTATTTGATGACGTCATATTTGTACAGAAAACGTCTAAACACGTGCACTTTGCTAGTTTTTATCAAAATAAAGCATTTTTTTCGTCTTTGGTTAAAATTTTTGCTGTGGCCACACCCTTCGAACAAAATAAAATTTATACCATTGAAAAGAGGATTAAATTATGAATAAATAAAGTATATTTTTATTTTGTTCGAGGGGTGTGGCCACATCGAAATTAATACTTTTCGTTCGATTCAAATACCTTTGCACCGACTCGCACTGTGAAAATAGCGGGGATTACCCTACATTAATAGAAAAGAAAAAGATTCTATATTGTTTTTGTAAATATTAAAAAGTTTCGAAATGCGAATGTTATATTTATTATAAGTTATTTTGTGTTGTGGTGCAAAAAAGTACGAAAAATTCTTGCTAAGCATGACTGTGTGTAGATGCCATAATGCCGACATTTTGTGTACTACGTGCCTTAGTCCTGACCCCAAGAGTTTTCCTTCAAGAAGTTGATCTATAACTCATCATTATGCTGAAATGTTAAAAAAAAAATAATAATGTGTTCTCTTTTCCTCTGACAGCCTATTTATTTATGTTTTGAATTTGTTTTCCATCTCCCGTCTCTTCGTCACCATGGTCACTATGTAATCAAAGGGAGATCACCCTAGAAACATGTAGGCTACATCTTTATTTTCTCCTGAATGGCCGTGTCGGAATAGCCTAGAATATTAAACAATTTACATCGGAGTCAACTACCAAGACGTATTTATAATGATTTTTTTTTTGCTACCTTACAAAACATTAATGTCGTGAAGTCTGCATCGACAGCATACAAATGGTTAATGTTCCGCAATTTAGAGTCTATTATCCTGAAATATATCCACGCGGCCACGATAACTAGGCCTATATATGTATTATAATTATAACCCATACCCAACATGCGTTTCAGAAATCGCCAGTGACATTTTAAGACAAAAGATTAATTAATAATTATTAGTGAAAACCTTTACGGATCCGAGACCTTTTAACATAAATTTTGTTAAAAAAGAGATAAATAGAATGCAGTTTTTAGTCATTGGTTATTTTTATGTCATAATTCCCATGTCCTTTTTATAAACAAATATTTTGAATGACATTTATACATAGTTGTGAATAATGCTGATTGAATAAAATTTCATTGAAATTTCATTGTTACGAAGTATTGAACCTAGAAAATTCGAGTTGACAGATCAAATAAACAATAGATTGATTTTTGTAATTTTTGTGATAGGCCTCTATAAGAAAAATGTCCTACATTGTATAAACGAATAAATTACTACCAAGGCAGTGACAACTCTTTATAGTTTTGAGTAATTTCAGTATCGCATGCATGCTGTGACCTAGCCAACACATGAAAAAAATGTCAAAGGGAGGCTACTTGCTATCTCTTTCTATTTTGAGTTACTCCGCTTAAATGTAACAGGCCCAAAGGAGAGAGGGCAACCAAGATTAGCAAGCATGTTTATACATGTACATGTAATGTGTAAATTCATCAGTGACGTAGCATCGTTTTTGAAAGGGGGGGCAAACCCGAGGAAAATATTTCCAACTTACCTGAAAAAACTTGACAAGCAAAAAAGAAAAAAAAAAAGGAAAATTGTGCAAACTCGAAAATCCTATTTTTTTTTTTACTAAAACACTGTATTATTATTATTATTAACGGATATAACTGCTATTTTTGCCTGTCTATCATATTTTTTGTTTTGTTTTGTTTTTTTTTTTTGAAAGGATATCTATATAGAATATAACTTCATAGATCGGGCATTTGAACATGATTTTTTTTTGGAGGGGGGGGGGGGGGTATGGTAATATGTCGCTCGACATATGGTCTATAATTTTTTTAGACGGTCTGTAATGATTGCCATTTACTACTGCCAGTAGCTGTTTTTCATATATTTTTGTTTAATTACAAAGAGTAACGATCCGAGGACGTCCAAGTCAAAAATCTCATAAATGCAATATGTATCCGATATTATGATTATTTTATCGTCTTCTGTACTCATTATCGCCTATCTATTTGTAGTTGTGTTAGAAATTGCAGATGGAGAAACGAAATGTTATTTTAAATATTTGAAAATTATCAGTAAAATGTTAAAACTGGCTTTGAACTATATGAAAGTCTTAGTTGTTGTTATGTTTCAATTTAATTTTCACTTCTCACCGGGTAATCATTACTTTACGATTTTATTAAAGGGGTTTTTAATAGGTACTCCCCAAAATGGGAGTGTGTAAGATATGATAATATGATAAGAAAACGATTAGTTAGCAATAATTAATTCGATCGATTTTGTCATCTGAAATCTCTTTTCATACCTATTGTGGGTATATAAAAAAAAACGTTTCTCTTTGATGATATAACATATTATCATAATTAGTGAACTTTATTTTGATTAAGTAATTTACATTGAGTAAAGTGGTATACTGCCATTTCCGTTTATCTTGTTTTTTTTTAACTTCAGGTTCCGTTTTGAAATTCAAATACTTCGATAATCTTGTGTTTTCGTAGGACTCTTTAATTTTTTTGCGGCCGATTTGATGCTTTGCATCACTCTTGTTTAAAAGTCTGTGGTGGCTTCTTTCCTGTCAATCTGTGGTGCGCAGGATTACCGTCAAACATCACTATCTTACGTGTTTTACATGTATGAACTACAATTTCATTTCAAATGTCCGGGAAATGCCTTAAATTACGGAAGTGCAACGAAATTCTCAAATTGACAATAAAATAGATGGTAACTTCAAACGTATTCATTTTTAATGCAACTTTTCATTTTAATTTCATGTTTTTGTTATTAAAGAGTACTTGTGCATTTTCTGAAAAAAACGTCTATTTTTTGTTTTGACGCCGTATGACCATACAATAACACATTTAAGAATGATAAAATCCTTACCCATGGCTACTATAGTATATATTTTACTCCATTAATTCAGTTTTACTCAAATATGACGGATTAACACGTTGTATTTGTTTTCAGCTTAACGTGTCTCTTATTATCATTTAAAACGTGTTACATGTATCAACGATAAAACCAGACAAATGTTGTATATAACAAATATTTGGCATTTCTTTAGAGTACAAATAGCTTTAATTAAAAAATAAACCAAAAGTTTTCAAAACTTCTTGAAAAATTCATAGTAAAATTTTCCCAAAATTTTAAAGAAGAGCCTATATTGGTTATTTTTATTCAATTAACGTACATATGTTACTTTCTTATACAAAATGTCAACGTCATGACGTAAAAGTATGTAACGTCAACGTAATGACGTGATAGTATTAATAAGGAAAACAATACCAAATTTAAACGAATGTAAAAAGAAAACCAGAAAAAATATTGTTAAAAAACAAATTGTTTTACAACATTCAAATCTTAGAGTTTCATGTGAGAAAGTTTCATTTATTTTGATGACTGGGCCGATTTAGCCCCTTCGTGGATTTAGCTCTTTCACAATCTTTCTCATATTGTGGTGGAAAGCTCGGTATCAATCAATTACAAACCTAAATGCGATGAAATTTTTGGTGACTTTCATATCAAGCAATTCTCAGCATGCTGAAACATGAGTATGATCCAAATATATTACGTAATTTTGTTAGGTCTAAGCTTGATGATGAAACCTTTTTTAGTATTCATCTAATTGAGGAAAGTGAAGTTTTTAACATGTTAAATTCTCTTAATATCAATAAATCAGCTGGCGTTGACTTTATTGGACCGCGTCTTTTGAAAGTCGCATCTAAATATATATGTAAACCTATAACTCATCTTATTAACGCTAGCATAGTAAGTGGTATTTTCCCGACAAATTTAAAACAAGCCAAAGTAACACCTATTTTTAAGAAGGGTGACAAAGCTGACCCGAATAATTATCGTCCAATTTCTATTCTACCGACTATATCTAAATTGATAGAAAAACATGTAGCTAAGCTAATACAAAATTTCACTAATGAATTTAATCTACTAACACAATCCCAGTCGGGGTTTAGAGAACTCCATTCGTGTCAAACTTCACTTACAAAACTAACAGAAAGTTGGCTTAATGCAATGGATCATGGTGAACTAATCGGTATTACATTTATAGATTTTAGTAAAGCATTTGATTTGGTGAATCATAATATTCTTCTAAAGAAATTAACCCATTACAAATTTGACCATACAGCTATAAAGTGGTTTAAGTCATATCTTTACGACAGGACCCAGTGTGTTAAATTTGGAACATGTGTCTCCAATATTCTACCCTTCACAGCAGGAGTACCACAGGGCTCAATTTTGGGTCCACTTTTATTTTTATTGTACATAAATGACCTGCCATTACATGTAAACAATTCAAATATTGATATGTTTGCTGATGATGTAACTCTGTATTCTGATAATCATAATGCAAGATGTTTAGAAAATACACTAAATTCAGATCTTTACGAGATTGAGAAATGGTGTGCTCACAACCAAATGGTATTAAATGTAGACAAAACAAAATGTATGCTAATGGGGACACAGCAAAGAAAATCAAAACTAGATAATCCAAATTTACAACTTTATGCCTCAGACAAAACAATTGAAATGGTTGAAACTGAGAAACTTCTTGGTGTACATATTGATGATAAGTTACAGTATGCAAATCATATTGATTCAGTTTGTAAAACCATAAACTATAAGTTATTTACTCTACGTAAGATAAAAAAATTTCTTCCCCTACATACCAGAAAACTATATTACAATGCTTATATTCTACCATCTATTAACTATTGTTTAACTATTTGGGGTAATGCCCCCAAGCAGGACATGGGTAGACTATTTAAATTACAAAAAAGGGCAGCCAGGATTATTCTTGACGCAAGTCCTGATTCTTCTTCTAAACCACTGTTTGAGAAACTTGGATGGTTAACAGTTTATGAGCTAGTTGATCTATACAAATACATATTATTATACAAAATTTTCAGCGGAATGACTCCCGAATATCTTTGTAATTTATTTGAATTTCACTCCTCAGCCTCTTATAACCTGCGATCTGAAACTAATTATGACCTTAAATTACCTAAGTTCTGTACAAACTTATTCAAGACCTCTTTTCAGTACTCAGGTGTGCACCTATGGAATAAACTTCCCCAGCACATAAGACTCTCTCAATCTCTACGAGCATTTAAGTGTAATGTAGAAAATTACATTATCAGCTGTCGTACAATTATTTGAGCACAGTAAGATTTTGATATCCTATCTACAATGTGATTGTTAGTTGTATGTACATATTACCAGACATGGACACTCTATTCATAATTTTGTGATTGTAATTCCTTAAGACTATATCTGATTTATGTTGAATTGGATATTTACATGTGTACTTGTTTATCTTTGTAATTGATATATAGAAGGCCCTGGGGAAGAATAGTGCATGCACTAACCAGGTTACCGTCTTTAAATAAAGTTTTATTATTATTATTATTATTATTATTATTTTAACAGTTAGTGATATTGATAATGTTTTTTTTCAACAGATTTGATCTCAATTTTTTAGACTTTAAAGGTTCTTGGAAATGCTTGTAACTGTGAGCACATTGTGGATGTGGGAGCAGGTCAAGGTCATTTGTCAAGGTTGTTGACCTTTCAGCATGGGTTCAAGGTGACAACAGTGGAGGCAGAAGGTTGCCATGCCCCCAAAGCACAAAAATATGACAGGTTAGTGTAAAATGTTAATATAGTTAAATATAGCTTTGTTCGGCTGAAGGCATGTATCCTTGAGCAGTTTATTTGGAATAGTGAGGCATCCAGATTACTGAAATGTACTTGGACTTGATATAAAGAGTATAATAAGAAGAGCCGTGAAATTGATTCTACCTGGAAAGAGGAAGCCCGGAAGACCAAAGGGCACATAAAGAGGACCATCGAAACAGAAATGAAGGGAAGAGTTTATGACTGAAAAAGCATTACTAGAATTGAAAATGATAGATTGAGAGACCTTGTCTCTGCTTTGCAGAAATGCATAACTAGGATAAATAAATGATATAAATGACTATTTGCATTTATAATTTCTGTTCATCATAAATTTTGTCCAGAATGTGAAGCCTACGAATTAACAAATTTGCATTGCATGTATTAAAAGTTCAGGTTTATTTAAAAATCAAGGCAGGTATTTTTTTTAAGAAGTTGCTCTACATTTATCATGTAACACATTAGGACTAGAAATTAAGGCCGTGTGGGACAGAACTGTGATTTAAGACCAAAGACCGTATAGAAATAGTTTCTCAGGTCCATAAGCAATCACTTCATATTTCAATACCCCGGTAATTCATGGTCTGTTCAAAGTACAAACAGTCATATACATGTAGTACACTGATGTAGACTTATGGTAGAATTACATGTACTAATCTATACCCTCCATTACATGTACTAATCTATACCCTCCATTACATGTACTAATCTATACCCTCCATTACATGTACTAATCTATACCCTCCATTACATGTGCTAATCTATACCCTCCATTACATGTGCTAATCTATACCCTCCATTACATGTACTAATCTATACCCTCCATCACATGTACTAATCTATATCCTCCATTACATGTACTAATCTATATCCTCCGTTACATGTACTAATCTATATCCTCCATCACATGTACTAATCTATATCCTCCGTTACATGTACTAATCTATATCCTCCATTACATGTACTAATCTATACCCTCCATTACATGTACTAATCTATATCCTCCATTACATGTACTAATCTATACCCTCCATTACATGTACTAATCTATACCCTCCATCACATGTACTAATCTATATCCTCCGTTACATGTACTAATCTATATCCTCCATTACATGTACTAATCTATACCCTCCATTACATGTACTAATCTATACCCTCCATCACATGTACTAATCTATATCCTCCGTTACATGTACTAATCTATATCCTCCGTTACATGTACTAATCTATACCCTCCATTACATGTACTAATCTATACCCTCCATCACATGTACTAATCTATATCCTCCGTTACATGTACTAATCTATATCCTCCGTTACATGTACTAATCTATACCCTCCATCACATGTACTAATCTATATCCTCCATTACATGTACTAATCTATACCCTCCATTACATGTACTAATCTATACCCTCCATCACATGTACTAATCTATACCCTCCATTACATGTACTAATCTATATCCTCCATCACATGTACTAATCTATATCCTCCATTACATGTACTAATCTATACCCTCCATTACATGTACTAATCTATACCCTCCATTACATGTACTAATCTATACCCTCCATTACATGTACTAATCTATACCCTCCATTACATGTACTAATCTATACCCTCCATTACATGTACTAATCTATACCCTCCATTACATGTACTAATCTATACCCTCCATTACATGTACTAATCTATACCCTCCATTACATGTACTAATCTATATCCTCCGTTACATGTACTAATCTATACCCTCCATTACATGTACTAATCTATACCCTCCATTACATGTACTAATCTATACCCTCCATTACATGTACTAATCTATACCCTCCATTACATGTACTAATCTATACCCTCCATTACATGTACTAATCTATACCCTCCATTACATGTACTAATCTATACCCTCCATTACATGTACTAATCTATACCCTCCATTACATGTACTAATCTATACCCTCCATTACATGTACTAATCTATACCCTCCATTACATGTACTAATCTATACCCTCCATTACATGTACTAATCTATACCCTCCATTACATGTACTAATCTATACCCTCCATCACATGTACTAATCTATACCCTCCATTACATGTACTAATCTATACCCTCCATTACATGTACTAATCTATACCCTCCATTACATGTACTAATCTATACCCTCCATTACATGTACTAATCTATACCCTCCATTACATGTACTAATCTATACCCTCCATTACATGTACTAATCTATACCCTCCATCACATGTACTAATCTATACTCTCCATTACATGTACTAATCTATACCCTCCATTACATGTACTAATCTATACCCTCCATTTTTCTCCTTACATTACATTTAGAGACAATCCTTCACCTATCTTGATATTTATGTTTTCCTTCAGTTTTCTATTTATAAGTGATTGTGATGGTTTAATTCTGCAGAGTCTGGTCTTATTTATATGAATAATTATGTCAGAAACTGAATGAGTTATTTGTTGTTGGTTTTTTTTTTTTTGGCTAGAGATGCTCACAGACAGATCTCAAAGGTAAGCACTTTCTTTTAGTTTATGATACCAAAAGTTTCCTTATTTAAATACAATAAATTAACTCATAGTTTGAAATTACCGATAAACACCAAGATGATGCCAGCCTTAGCAGCCATGTGCATTGTATTTTTTGTGCAGATTTAACTCAGTTTAATTTAGCACTTTCTGTACATACACTTTCCTCAATAAGAAATGAATTTAATTTTTGAAAATTCATGAGGACATGAAACTCAGGCCAGCATTTTTCATGAAGCACATTCAGTTGTTATTATAAATATGCCAGCATTAGGTATTGTAGTTCATGTACTTCATGAATTTTTAGCTCACTTGAGCCAAAGGCTCAAGTGAGCTTTTCTGATTGAAATTTGTCTTTTGTCTGTGGTCCTTGTTGTCATCATTGTAAACTTTTTCATTTTCTTCTTAAGAACCACTGGGCCAATTTCAGCCAAACTTACCACAAAGTATCATATGGTAAAGGGGATTCAAATTTGTTCAAATGAAGGGCCAGGTCTTCTTCAAAGGGGGATAATTACGAATTTGTGAAAAATTTATGGCATTATTTAAAAATCTTCTTCTCAAGAACCACTGTTCTAGAAAATATGAAACTTATGTGGAAGCATCGTCAGGTAATATAGATTCAAATTTCTTCAAATCATGACCCCCAGGGGTAGGTTGGGGCCACAGTGGGTGATCAAAGTTTAGCATATGAATACATAGGGAAAATCTTTAAAAATCTTCTTCTCAAGAAAAACAAAGCCATGATTGGTCATGTTTATATGGAAGCATCGTCAGATAGTGAGATTCAAATTTGTTCGAATCATGACCCCCAGGGGTAGGGAGGGGCCACAGTGGACGATCAAAGTTTTACATAGGAGTACATATGAAAAATCTTAAAAAATCTTATTCTCAAGAACAGCAAAGCCTTGATCGGTCATAATGAAATAAAAGCATCCTCAGGTAATGTAGATTCAAATTTGTATATCCAATGGCATAGTAGTTCATGAGAAAATGAATTGGCATATTATTGGAAATGTAAATATTTAAGGAATGTTTATAAGTTTTGTGTGAGATATTGGTGTGTAAATCACACGGACTTGTCATGTAGGCATATTTCATGAAGCGCTAGCTTAATTCACACTTAACTTAAAAACATACTTTATATTACATTTTAAAAGTTTAAAAGCACCAGAATATACTTAATATTTGAATTTCTCAGTGCCCTATATCGTTACATTTTATTATCGTCTCAGTAGCCTCACTTAGCGCTAGTTTCACTGTGTATATTTCTATGCAAGAGTATACACAAAAATGGTTTTCAAATCAATTTCACAGTTGGCTTAGTAGAAAAACAGCAAATGTAAATATGAAGAAATTATCATTAGTTAGAAACTTGCTGTGATGTGAGTAACTTATGTAATTACAATTTGTCCACACTATAGGTGCAATTATTTTACTTTCTATCCCTAAATCTTGTGCTTTCACCATGTGTATTGTGTTGTTATATGTCATTATTTAGGAATAAATTTGGTTGTATGCCTCTTCCTTACATATCAATAATTAAAGCTTTGATTGGTTATGCAGGTAAAAGGTCACACAGAGACTGAAAGTGAGGCTGAGCTTCCATGTCATGTGACTTGTTACATCACAACAGACACTACACAGGGGAAGTTCATAGACATTGTTCAGAAATCTTTCAATAGGAGTAATGTCAGCAGCCATTGTGAATCAGAACATGGGCTCAATATAAATAAGATGCAATCTGAATCAGTAGATGAAAAGCAAAATGTAGAGAGCTGTTGTAGAGAATCTAACAAAAAACCAAAACTGACAAATAGCTCCACATGTACTGATATGGACTGTGATGATCAAGATGCATTCTTGACTTCTCCTAAAACAGGTCAAAGTCATGGAATTTTGGGTGTGCACATTTCGAGCAAGAATTATTTAAGTTTGTCCAGTAAAAACAATTTCTGTGAAAATTGTGAAAAATGCTCACATTCCAAGTCATTTAGTTCATGTGATAGTAATTCAAGCCATTTAAACAATCATTTGACTGGAGAACAGGCAATGGTTGATTCATGTCAATGTGATAAACACCAGGACACCAAAATTAATCAGGAATGTGAGGTTCTAAACAGTGAGACTGAAGAATTCCACAGAGAGGACACTCCAACCAGACAGCACTTTCTCCTCACTGGGCTCCATGCCTGCGGGGATTTAACTCCCACAATGCTTAGAGTTTTCACTTCCTGTCCAGATATAGCAGGACTGGCATCTGTTGGCTGCTGTTACATGAAAATGTCTACTCCACAGTAAGAATTGTTAAATTTTATATGTTTGTTTTGAATGTTATCAATGTACTTATATGTGCATGTCTATTTTCCTGAATAACAGTTTTGCTTTAATATAAAATGGCCTATATGTCACTGTTCTTATCTGTTTACTCATTTCTCTGCTTTGTGATTTTAAGACAATATTTATGTAAAAAGTTGAGGGTAATCCTTGTGCTTGTTTGTGTTTGTGATCTCTGTTTATCTGAGTAAGCTAAGGCATTATATTTTAGATAAAAGAGGATGGGCGAACAAAGTGTAAAAATGACTATATAGCTTCAAATGTATAAAAATCAAATTTTAAAAATTTCTGGATTTAGTATTTAGAACAGAGTGTTAATTATGAAAATGTATAAAATTATTACAAAGTAAGTTTTTCTCTGGAAAAATTTTCGCAATAAAATTATTCTGTGGTAAAAACAAATTAAGGATTTTTGAGGATTTGAACTAAATCTATAAAAATCTCAAAAATCAGTTACCTTTCATAGACACTGACACACTAACCACTTCACCACATAGTTCATATCAAGAAGCGACACTTAAGTCTTGTTTGTGATATGATATGACCCTTGTTAAATTCACTTTCTCAGTTGTTGATCCATAGACATTTTTGTTGGCTTATTCACCCATCTTCTTTGATGAAATTAACCTTTTCTGTCATGCGTCTGTACTTTTGGCTATGATTCTGTTCATTTGTAATGAAGATTGATAACTCAGACAAGTAAATTATAATATTTATTATGTTTGTGTTTTGAATATGTACTTAACAATGTTATCTTTATTCAATTTGATCTTCAGAATACTACATAACATTGATATATCATTATGTTGTTTGTTTTCTGTACGTGATCAGGAACACTAAGACAGACCCTGTTGGCTACCCTATGAGTAATTTCGTCTCCAGTTTACCACACTCAGTCCTAAGTTATGAAGCTCGAGAGATGGCCTGTCATTTTGCAGATTCATACATTCAAAGGTTGAAAGGTAAACTCAACAAAGTTCAGGTCAAGATTGTAATTCAGCCTTACATAGCAGTAATCAGTGATATTTACTGTAAACATTAACAGCAGTAGGCAGTGATATATACTGTAAACATAAACACATGATAAACAGCAGTAAGCATTGATATATTCTGTAAACATTAACAGCAGTAAGCAGTGATATATATACTGTACACTTTTACAGCAGTAATCAGTGATATATACTGTAAACATTAACAGCAGTTAGCAGTGATATCAAAGATGTCTGTTGTTGCAGATTTATAATACTTATTTCATTTGCTGATTTTTTTGAAGTGGGAAAAGCCATGTTTTGCTAGTTCATATTACCTTTGACATGTTTCATGTTTGGGATTTTAGAATAAATAATTCAGCATATTATAGTTAGTTAACAGTAATTTGTTCATATTTTGTTTATAAAATACTTTTTGAATAAATTCAATGTCATTCTTATCTACATGTTTTCATAGAAAATTGTTATAATTATAGAAAAGAACACTTCAGAGAGCAGAGATCTAATCTCTGAAACCTCCTTAAGTCTCTATCAGCATTTATCATCTAATTTCCTAGATAACCCACCATCTCTGAGGTTACACTGCTACAGAGCAGCCTTACAGTGGATAATTCTACATATAAAACCTGATTTTGTAACCGGGGAACAGAAACTGACCATTAGAAAAGCTGAAAAACTGACATTCAAACAGTAAGGTTTTTTTTTTTTCAAATTCAAGTACCACTCAGGACCTTTTTTTGTTTACCTTTTAAAAAAATATTAGAATTTACTGAATGATATTTTATTTTTACAGATATGTTAGTCTTGGATTGCAGAGATTTGGTCTTAACTGTGAGGTGCCAGAGGAAATTCTGGAGGGAGCCACAGAACGCCTAAAAGAGTGGAGACAAGTAGTGGCATTTTACACCCTCCGCCTGAGTCTGAGTCCAGTAGTGGAGTCCTTGCTGTTACTAGACAGACAGATGTACCTGTATGAACAAGGTAGTTTCTAAATAGACAGACAGACAGACAGACAGATGTACTTATATGAGCAAGGTCAGTTTCTAAACAGACAGACAGACAGACAGATGTACTTATATAAACAAGGTCAGTTTCTAAACAGACAGACAGACAGATGTACTCATATGAACAAGGTCGGTTTCTAAACAGACAGACAGATGTACTTATATGAGCAAGGTCAGTTTCTAAACAGACAGACAGACAGACAGACAGACATATATGAACAAGGTTAGTTTTTAAAAAGTCAGACAGAAACTGAGACTTGTACATATATAAACGAGGTCAGTTTCTAAACAGACAGACAGACAAAAAGCTGTACTAATGTACATGTAAGTGTTTGTACAGACAGACAAGTGTACATATATGAACAAGGTCAGTTTCTAAACAGACAGGCAGACAAACAAAAAGCTGTACTTATGAACATGTAAGTGTTTGTACAGACAGACAAGTATAAATATATGAACAAGGTCAGTTTCTAAACAGACAGGCAGACAGACTAAAAGCTGTATTTATGTACATGTAAGTGTTGTACAGACAGACAAGTGTACATATATGAACAAGGTCAGTTTCTAAACAGACAGGCAGACAGACAAAAAGCTGTACTTATGTACATGTAAGTGTTTGTACAGACAGACAAGTATGCAGATATGAACAAGGTCAGTTTCTAAACAGACAGGCATACAGACAAAAAAGTGTACTTATGTACATGTAAGTGTTGTACAGACAGACAAGTGTACTTATATGAACAAGGCCAGTGTCTATACAGACAGACAGACAGATAGATGTAATTATATAAACAAGGGCAGTATCTATACAGACAGACAGACAGACAGACAGACAGACAGATGTACTTATATGAACAAAGTCAGTTTCTAAACAGACAGACAGATGTACTTATATGAACAAGGTCAGTGTCTTTACAGACGGAAAGCTGTACTTATATGAACAAGGTCAGTGTGTATACAGACAAACAGATAGACAGGTGTACTTAAATCTGTATACTTACATGAAAGAAAACGAGGCCAGCCTTATCCTATATTTTGTTTACCCTGCAACATTTTTTAATTTGACCTCCAAAACAAGCTATTTTTTTTACAAAGAAGAAGGTACGATTTTGGCCTTATTGATCCCTAAAAATTTAATGTTTTCAAAAAGTGTTGAAATCGGCATAAATAGGAGTTGAGTATATGAGTGTGATAATTCATGAAAAAATATGGCATGAAAGAGTACCATACTAGAAATATGATGTCATTAATTTTGTATTTTTCTAAGTTTTAAGCAGAAAAAGCCTCAAAATGACTCATTCCAGGGGGTATTTTCCTTGAGAAGATAGTGTCCACAGCTGTAGCCCACTTCAATATTCAGATATTTTGTGTAAATTTCTTTGAAAAATCACACTTTTCAAAATCTTTGTGGGCGATGCATGTGGTCTATATTATCTGAAAGAAAATTTCACAGAGAATTGATGTCTTCTGCAACTTTTTAAGAAAAAAGAATTTTTTTAAAGAAAAAAAATTAGCATTTATGAAGTCAAATGAGAAAAATGATTTGTTTGATCTTAGCGCATGAAGTTTCAACATTTCAGAAAAGACGAATTATAATTTCTTTCATCGCTTTCATATTTTTGAAAAATACAGGACCAGATTGGTATTGAAACTGTACCTTGTTCTTTAGGCATACTTCTGCAGATGAAAATATGACACCATTGCTTAAGCAATGAACAAAATATGACATCACAACATTTTTAAAGATGTTAGAAAGGATGAAGCTATATTTCAGCATTGACCACAAAAATCGCTATAGTTAATTAGGTAACCATTATTCAGTCAATGCCAGCTGTGGTTGCTGGATAAATTGTAGCTTTACATTGTCGGAATATACACGAATTGTGTCCATGGTTAGACTTTAACACAGTTACAAATTGTCAGAAGTTATATATAGTTCTCTGTTTTTTCTTCCAGGTATATCATCTCTAGCGCTGCCAGTTTTTGATCCAAAGATTTCACCCAGGAACTTTGTGTTGTTAGCAAAGAAGTGACATTGGAAATGTAAATTACTTTTCTCCAACTGTGATACAGAAAAAAACACGCTTATTGCAAAGTTCCAGGGATAACTATGGAATGCCATAGCTGCCTGAAGGTCACTTTCATATTATATGAGGTGGTATAACCTTTATATAAAGTGGTGAAATCATTATATATAGTAGTAAAATCATTATACCCAGTGATAACTTTATTAAATGCAGCGGTTTTATCATTATAGATAGTGGCAACATCATTATATGTAGTGGTTAAATAATGTAATGAAGTGATAGTATCGTTACATTATGCTGTAAAATCATTATATGTAGTGAAATATTTCTATGATGTGATATTAAGGAGGCTGGGGGGTCAACAAATTAACCATCAGATATAACTTATTTTTTTTCAGATATGATATCTTAAGCTGTCAACTATCATTTGGCAAAGAAAAAAAAATCATACATTTTAGTTTTAAAATTTGATCATTTTTGTATATCTTTATATTGAGCTCTTCTTCTAAAGGAGATCAATATAGTTTAAAATTGCCACGACCACCCAGCCCTCTTAAGTTCAATATATACATTTATAAACATAGTTTGTGTGAGATTGCAATCTTTACATTAAATGAAACACAATGTATGTGTAGTAGCAAGTTCATTTCATTCAGTGCGACACCTTTACATGAAGTGAAAAATTTATTATGTTCAGTACTAACATCATTATATTATAAAGTAAAATTAATATATATATTTTAAAATCATGCTATGCAGTGGTAACATCTCTATATGAGGTGGTAAATAATTATATGTCGTTGTTAATTCGTTATTTGAAGTGGTCAATTCTTTATATGCCGTAGTAATTTCATGTTATGCAGTGGTAACTTCTTTATCATCATCTAAACTGGTCCTCTTAAACAGTGAAAAACGCGCGGAGATCCAGTTTAAAGCGGGTGTTGCTAAAATCTGCAAATATGATACATGTACCAGTTTAAATCCCTTGAAAATATATGAAATATACCAAAAACGATAAACATTTTATAGGATGGTAATATTGAACGTTGATTATCACGAGCGAGTTGATTTAATCATGTTTATTCTCAAACGAAGATTCCTGTTAGAAAGCAAAGCATATGGGAGGGTACAGAATGTATAAAAAAAGATTGTGGTAAAATATGAGTTAAGTAACTTTATAAAATATCACTTTAATGAACACGAATGGTCAGTATTCGATATTTATATGAGCGAATACAATATAATTTTCGATGCACAGGCACCTAAGGCGTGGATAACCATGTTTGCCTCACCCACCCACCCCCTCTCCCCGTATTGGCCAAATTGTAAAACTGGAAAACAAAACAAACCGAATGCACAGAGTAACATTAAGATTGCTATGATGGAGAAATCACGCATTTTTAAGGAAAATGCATGCACTAACGTAATTTATATATTATTTGGTAGGGAGGGGGGGGGGGATAATGCATAGATGTACGTTGTCCACGCTTCAAGCATGTGTCAAGTGCCTGACGGTGGATAGAGCGGATCCAGGATATTTTTGGGGGGTGGGGTAGGGGGGTTATACCCAAATAAAAAAAAAAACAACTGCGTTTAATGTTTACTTTTTACATCAACTTTACAGGGGTCTGTTTTTTTTTTTTGGGGGGGGGGGTCCAAGTCATTTTTCTTTTATTTACTTTACTATGTACACATACTTTACTTTGTACACGTAGTCGCCCGCGTGGCGCAGTGATTAGAGAGTTTGCTCTAGGATCGCGGAGTAAGGAGTTAATCCTTACGTCGGGGTTCGAATCCCATTGTGAATCGTCCTTCGGATGAGACTGTATAAACCTAGGTCCCGTGTCGCAGTAGGTGCTGGCACGAAAAAGGTCCCTCAATGCTCATTGGCCCTTAGTGTCGAGTATGTATACGTTCTGAATTTGCACCCCTCCACCGGCAAGTGGATGCGTCTCCATATGAGTGAAAAATTCTCGAGAGGGACGTTAAACAACAAACCAAAAACTATGTACACATAATAACTCCACAAACTTCAGGGGGTCCGAACCCTATCTGGAACCCCCCTCTAGATCCACACAAGCCTGTTATAAGGTGTTATAAGCATGTCCTCTGTTCTTTCCTTAATGCCAGTGATCGTTGTGTAGAACACAAATGTGTACATAATTATTCTCTTTCTCGCCCCATCCACCTGTTTTAAAACATCATTGCCTGTTTCATAATAAATTATTTCAAAAGAGAGTTTTGTTTTTGGTGAATAACTTTAAAAAATTGATTTGGACGAGTGATGAATGAGACATCAAGATAGATACTTAGGCAGTGTGTCTGATTAGTATGTAATTGATTGACCACTGCACGTATACACTAAATGTAGTTATTAGGGGGGAGAGGGGGGTCATAAATAAATTACATTGTTATGTTATTTTTTTTTAATAGGATATAAACAGTTTGGTAAAGAATAATGGTTACTGATTGATTTATATATATGCGTGTAGTAAAAAAATTGATATAAGATTTTCCGTTCCATTCCCCTTTCCGTTCCGTTTTCAAATCCGCGTTTTAGCAACACCCGCTTTAAGGAGGCTGGGGGTCAACAAATTAACCACAAATTAACCACCAGATTTAACTTAATTTTTTAGATATGATATCTTAAGCTGTCAACTATCATTTGGCAAAGAAAAATTTCAAAAATTTTAGTTTTAAAATTTGATCATTTTCTATATCTTCATTTGAAGCTCTTCTTCTAAAGGAGTTCAATATAGTCTAAAAATGGCCACAACCCCCCAGCCTCTTTAATCTGTTTTACACATTCTCTATCCAGAGTTGTCGTTCCCGCTCCGCTCCCACACACACCTCTGTCAACGCTTGTTTTACAAGATTCTTGGAAAATTTGTAAATGATGAAAAATTGTGTTCATAATCTTTTTAAATTATATTTCGTATTAGAAAACATGATTTATTTAAATCTGTAACCCCTTGAAAGGATTTTTAATTGAGATTTTAATTTATACTCTGCAAAATAGTTCCCTAAAAACTTTGAAAATAAATCGTTTTGAGGGATGGTAAATTTAAAATAGATGATAATCATAAATAATTATTTACGAATTTAATTTTAAATTTTCACCGTTACCATTTGTACAAGAATCTTGTACAACGAGCGTTGACAACGGTGTTAGGAGCGCAGCGCAGGACAACTCTGGATAGAGAATGGTTTTTACTGTTTAAAAGTACCAGTTTTGGTGATGATAAAGAAGTTACCACTGCACTAAAGCTTATAAAGAATTGACCACTTCATATAATGAATTAACAACGACATGTAATTATTAAACAGTAACCACTTCATATAAAAATGTATGAAATATGTAGAAATATAACTTTAATCAAAGTTATAAACAACAAGGTTTAAAGTTCTGAATTATATATACAAACACGATCGCCTGACGGATTCTGATTTGTTTGGCATGTATGGCATTGGTTGAAACTACTTAATCTGTATCAGACATTTTTTTCTGCATGATATTCCGCTGCTGTGTTAAGGCCGTTTGTTCTCTTACTTCTTTGTGTAAATTGTCGGTCCTGAATGTACCGGTATACCCCTACCTTCCCCTACTTTCTCTAGTTTCCCTAATGGTTGGAAAATGTTATTGTTTTTGGAATAATTTAAAAGGTGACGATTTTTACGAACAGTGATCGATCTCAAAAAATCTGTAAACAATACAAATATGTAAAGAGGGGATAAAACACGGACCCTTGTAATTCCAGAGGTGGGACCAGGTGAGAAGAAAGCATCCCCTGTTGACCGATCACAGCCGCCATGAGCCTTATAAATTGATAAGGTAGACGGAACTTTCTAAAACGAATTAATGGACATTTCTTGAAGAAATATTTAACAGCAATATTGCGGAAGGAGAAGTGCAAGAAAGCATCCGAATGGAAGTAGAACGCATCCAAATAGAAGTACTGCGTTAGAATGTACTACGTGTCCACCTGTCTGGTCATCCTTGCGATTTACTGAAAAATTAAAAACATCATTTTCTTATTTTTCTGATTTTAAATATGATAAAATTTAAAGGAATAAAAACTATGTTTTTTAAAAACATCAAATTGAAAGTAATGGGTGTAATGTGTCATACTGATTTAAAAAAAAAAAATAGATAAATCGCAAATGAATCAAAAGTCGGACTCTTTAGCTTCTAGTATTAAAATTTCTGCAAACCTTTTCATCCAAACACTCTTAAGATTTTTATCCTAAATTAAATATGCAATCTTAAAGAAAATGTTTGTATTATTTGATTGAACATGGTCTCCTCTGTTTTGTTTGTGTCAAAAACTCATTAATGTGGGGGCATAGTTCTGTCTCTACTCGTCTGATTTTATATCTACTTGTCAGATCTTTTTGTTGACTTTTTACTTATTCACATATTCCTGCACCTGATCCCCCCTCTGATGTATTTGGAGGTCCGTGTTTGCTCTGCTCCCGATCTGTGTTATTTAAATCGACTTTAATCTAAAAATAATGTTCGTTATCTCCATATTTCATTTAATAATTCAACAATGAGAATATTCTTTTGGCAGTTTATGCCATCTTGTCTAATTGACATTTTCTCACAAGAATACTTGTAATATTATTGTTTACCTGTAATTTTCATCTTTACAGATATTTACATTGTTTACCTCTATAGTCGATGTTTACCGATGTTTACATTTTTTATACTTTAATGTTCATTTTTACAGATATTTTTATTGTTTACCTGTAATGTTCATGTTAACATATAATTACATTGTTAACCTGTAATGTTCATGTTTTCAGATATTTACCTGTTTACATATAATGTTTACAGATACATACCTTGTTTACCTGTAATGGTCATGTTTGCGGATATTTACCTTGGTTACATGCAATGTTGTTGTAAACAGATTGTCCATCCATTTCACATAATATCTCATGCCCATACCCGTATGGTAGAATGTACTGAGCGCCATTAGGGAGTCCTGAATGGTTACAAAATATTGGTATTTCAGAAAAAAATATCAGGAAAAAACTTGCAAATTAGACTATCCTTTCTTTGCTTAAGTCATAACTGTTGCAATATTTCATCTTTACTTTTCTAAAATTTGACGTTGTTGTTGAAAAATAAATATTATCGTGCTTTTATGTATTTATGGGACTTTGATATAAATACTGATGACCTGTATCTGACTCTGTTATTTATGGGACTTTGATATAAATACTGATTACATGTGATTGATTCTGTTATTTATGGGACTTTGATATAAATACTGGATACTTGTGGCTGATTCTGTTATTTATGGGACTTTGATATAAATACTGATGACCTGTATCTGACTCTGTTATTTATGGGACTTTGATATAAATACTGGTTACATGTGATTGATTCTGTTATTTATGGGACTTTGATATAAATACTGGTCACCTGTGATTGACTCTGTTATTTATGGGACTTTGATATAAATACTGATTACATGTGATTGATTCTGTTATTTATGGGACTTTGATATAAATACTGGATACTTGTGGCTGATTCTGTTATTTATGGGACTTTGATATTAATACTGGTGACCTGTATCTGACTCTGTTATTTATGGGACTTTGATATAAATACTGGTTACATGTGATTGATTCTGTTATTTATGGGACTTTGATATAAATACTGGTTACCTGTGATTGATTCTGTTATTTATGGGACTTTGATATAAATACCGGTTACCTGTGATTGATTCTGTTATTTATGGGACTTTGATATAAATACTGGTTACCTGTGATTGATTCTGTTATTTATGGGACTTTGATATAAATACTGGTTACCTGTGGCTAACCCCTTGATACATCTCGATGACTGGTCCAGCCACACACAATTATCCAGATAGTTTCCAGTTGTAGCGTTTTTTAACCGCATTCCATGTTTAGATAACTGGTAGGAGTTGTGTTCACATATTATCCACGCATGCGTACTGTTGCATTCGACAGAGTGATTAAATCGAGATACTAAAACAATTAAATGACAAATATTCGTTTGAGTTAAACATTCTTGTTTATTTACAGTTGCAAAAAATCGAAATTGTAAACAAACAAATAAAAGACATAACATAGTAAGGAGGCAGAGAAAATACATTCAAGGAACTTCACCTTTCTTTACCGTTACCTTTAGAAACAGAAAAATATCATTTTGTCGAGATACTCATACTTCAAAATGTACACAAAAACACACCCATCCAAACAAGCAAACTCCACTTGAGCACTTTATTGATAGATACATTGAAGTCATTTGATAGCATATTTTACGATAGTTGATGTATTGATGGAGATATATATAATCTGTATAATCCAGAAGTTTCCTCTCAGTCAAATTCGAAAAACATACTTTTCGCAGCCCGAAACACACAATCATGAAATAGTAATATAATCTTTGCAAAAAAGAATTCAGTTAAAGTGTTGTTTTTGCGATGGGAAGGTGAAGCAGTGAAAAAATAACAGAACTATAGACACAAATCAATCAGAGCCATTGTTGTTTTGGCAACGATAAGGCAGAGTAATGATAAAGTAACAAATAGTTTTAGAAAAATCAAACATATCGATACACTAGTCATTGACATTGCTGTTCTAATAAGGTCAGAATAGTAGAGCTCTAGCAAAAAGTAGAAAATCATTCAACGACATCCTATCATTTGTTTTGGCCTCAGTTGCAGAGGCGCAGCACAAATGTTTTACACATATAATGCACATGTGGCTATAGTCAATTCATAGTTACAAAAAACAATAAATAATAAAAAAAATAGTCGTTCAAGATCAGAAAACAAATTATTGAGAGAAGGAAACCATATGGGTCTGTCCTGACGAGCTTCTTTGGTCGTATTTAACATTAACAGCTTCTACAGTCGAGTTTACTGTATTTAATACTATCAGCTTCCATGGTCCATGTATTTAACACTAAATTATACCTGCTATAGTAGAATTTACTGTATATAACACATTTCCCATTGTTGAGTTTACTGTATTTAGCACTAACAACTTCTATACTCGAATTTACTGTATATAACAGCTACTATAATGGAATTTACTGTATTTATCAATTACAGCTTCTATAGTGGAATTTACTGTATTTAACAATAAGAAGCTACTATAGTGGAATTTATTGAATTTAACAATTGCAGCTCCCATAGTGGAATTTACTTTATTTAACAATTACAGCTCCTATAGTCGAATTAACTTTATTTAACAATTACAATACAGCTAATATAGTGGAGTTTACTTTATTTAACAATTAAAGCTTTTCTATTGAAATTTATTGTTTTTAACAGCTCCTATAGTGGAAATTACTGTATTTAACACTTACAACATGGCACCATGGGTAGTCTATCTTCAAGCACGCTTCCATTCAAACATGTGACGCTTATTTCCAGAAGATTGCCGATGTGTGATTTATACACAATAGGGAAGGAAACCTTTAGAATGTTGTCTTTTCTGTTGAAATTTCCACCATTTGTACATGTTTCCTTTTTACAGTAGGTCTTCATATTTCCACCGATTGGTCCTCCACGTATTATAGCTCTAGCTTCGCTGAATTCACAGGTAACATTGATGCTAACATTCAACATCTGACCATCACATACTCCTTGATTAAATTCTTCTGGTTTCAGTAACATGGATAAATTTCCTTTAAGTAAAGGGAACGTATAATCATCAACTATATTTAAATGACAAATTGCGTGAATTCAAACATTGTAAACAACCAATATATAGGTTTAAATGGACCAATTCTTTAGTTACAGTCAAACCTTGAACTCAGTGGGACCAAGAAAAAAAGAGACATATCCAAGGAATAGAGATAATGAAGTATGACAATGGATATGCCTATCTAAGTTTTTAGAGCTTCTGTCCAATCCCTATGACATATTTTCAATAAAATATGTTAAAAAAAACAAGAAAGGAAAAGATGGTTGAAATTTCCAAATAATTTCAACATAGTCATGGTATCGAGGTGTCGAACTTACAGTAAAAGAAGTTCGTTCAACTGTTTTTTATGTATTTACCTGGCTAAGCAATTTTTGAGTACAGTTAATTCAATTTATCAGCAAGAAATACTATTCACATAGAGGCAATCTGATCGATAATAATTGAAAATATAATATTGTCTGTGATGTCCGGTCACGTACGCTTATGAAATTTAAGAAATTTTATTTATGGACATTGTAACGACACTGGATTGTTCTATACATTATCAAATCTTTAAATTACTCAAAGCTTGATTAAATTTGACAGTATTCTTTTAATAGTTAAAAACAACATTTCAGAAGATACCAACATATTGACCATCATTACATGAGTAATATCAATAAATGTAGCAAAGTCAAAGACAATAAATGTCATTTACCTTACAGTGTTAAAAATAAAACCCACTGTCGAATTATCCACCTGTCCGCGTAAATATCCTATATGACACACAGAACCAGTCCCCTTTTAAAAGTCTTGTTATTTAGACTTCTTTAAAAAACATTTTGAATCAGACCTGTATCTTTAGATACTGTCAAAAGCGACAAAAGAGGAGTGTATGTACTTTTATCTGGGTCAGATCACAGATCAGAGATCTCTCAGTTCTAATTAATTGAGGGCTGGGTATTATTAGTAATATAGTTTTGTAGTGACAGGGTACGGGATGATACCTGGTTAGTAAATTTCATACCTGGCGAGGCGAAGCCGAGCCAGGTATGGAATTTACTAACCAGGTATCATCCCGTACCCTGTCACTACAAAACTATGTAACGAATTTACCCCACCGATGAAATATTTATGTATTGTCTGTGGCTTGTAAAATTGTTTTTCTCCGCTATATGTTTCATCACTCATACAATGCCTATTATGACGTCACGTTGTGTTACGTAATGTTGTTTTGCGAGTGTTTCATAACGTACTGACAGTACTGTTTCGAAGACTTTCAGTAAAGTGAGAAAAAGGTTATATCTCGTTACTTACGTTGATTAACTTTTTACTTATCAACAGATACCCGCGAACCTCATGCATATGAGTTGCTCGAAGTGTTACAATAGAACGATAACTCCGCATCAACCATGTATTGATTTTCAAGCGACTAGGTATAAGTAATACACCCCCTTCACGTGACAGACTTCAACCAATCGTAAGCCAGGATTTCATCGAAAAATCATCAGAGGTGGGGTAAATATACGTATTGGCTGGAAATTTCGCATTGCGATATACTGCGATATTTTAACTGCATTGCGGTATGTATTGCAATGTTTTCAATCAAAAGCAAAATGGCCATTTCTTAATTCATTATCCTCTAATTAGAAGCAGAATGTAAATAACTATTAATATAAATAACAAGAAAAGAGTTTACACTGAAGTTTTCTTCGAAAATGTAGAAATGAAAATGACTCATTAGACAAAAATTTGACACAAAAGACTTAGTGACTGTCGGTATTGGTTTTTTTTCTGACATTAAAAGCATATTTTATTTCTTAATTTTATGCCCAAGCATTTAGCGGGTATATTGGTACTGCAAAAACATATTGCAATACCATTTTTTGTTGTTGTTTTACGTCCCTCTTGAGAATTTTTCAGTCATATGGAGAAGCCAGCACTTGCTGGTGGTAGGCTCATTTCTTTTTTGAAGAAATATATGAATACATCGGAATATCGGTGTTATTGCCCGGCCCTACTCAGTTATCTATAGTCCTTATCCCTAAGTGTAGAAATACCAATCTGATGAAAAAGAACTTTGGATTTTGTAAGCCAACAAGGCAGGTTGTCAGTTTGAAGTTTTCCGTTTAAATCAATATCAAGAGTAAACGATCGTATAATGGTTCAGGAGGCAAGTTGACATAAAACAGGAAAATTGACAAAGTAGAATTTTTGTGTTGCACATGGAAATTTTGTTCAATTCTTGAAAGTATAAGGTTTGTTTAGTTATGAACATATTGTTTTGAAATAATCAATTGCATTAGAAACAAGTTTTGACAACGCACGAGATCCTCTATATAAGTATAAGGTTTTCATTTAATTACAGGATTTGGGTCTTCCTTGCAAACAATCTTTGAATTTACGAAAAGCAAACAAATTATTTATCACCAACATAAGGAATAAAGATTAAACTAATGTTGCATATTTAGTTTCTATTTTGTAGAAACAATGTGATTGATAACGATAATGATGATTTTGTCTGCGATGTCCGGTCATATACACTTATTAAATGCAAGTATTTTACCTACATGTATGGGTACTGAAACGACACTTGAATGTTGTATACATTATCAAATCTTTAAATTAATCAAAGCTTGCTTAGATTTGACAATTTTCATTAAATACTTTTAAAAAACTTTATTTTTATTTCAGATGATACCAGCAAACTGTTTTCACAATAATACCAAGAGCAATGTCAATAAGTGTAGCAAAATCAAAGAAAATAAATGACAATTACCTTGCAATGTTAAAAATAAAACACACAATTGAGATATCCACCTGTCCGCATAAATATCCAGCATGATACATAAAGCGCACGAAACCTGTCCCCTAGTAAAAGTCTTGTTATTTGGAAATTACATGTACATATGATCATAAACTTAAAAAACATCTTTTAAATGACCCGTTTCTTTATATACTGTCAATATACAAAGGATGCGTGACTTGTATTTGGGTCATCGGCTCGAAATTTTTAAATGCCATATACTGCGATATTTTAAACTGCATTGCGATATGTAATGCAATATTTTCATTAAAAAATGGTTCTTCCTTATTTACGCTCATATGCAGACGCCACCACTTGCCGGTTGAGGGCCATTTTCTTTTTGAAGAAGCATCGGAATACACCGGAATAATGCTATTATTGCCCAGATCTACTCTCTTATATTTAGTTCTACCTTCTACATGCAGAAACCTTTAATAGTCATTTAAAAGTAGTTTTTTGTTTTGAAATTCAATATCAAGAGTTAACAATGGTTAAAGAGGCAATGTGATACAAAAACGGGAAAATTTACAAGGTAGATTTCTTTGTGGCACATGGAAATTTTGTTTAATTCTTGAAAGTGTAAGATGTCATTATAAATAACATGATTTATGTCATTATTGCGAGCGAACTTCGAATTTAAGAGAAGCCAAAAAACTATTTAATATCAACATAGGGTTTAAAGATTGAAAAAAGTAACCTTGTATAGTTTCTATAGCTCTCTCTGAAAGACATGAAAAGCGTTTTTTTTCAAATTCAGATAAATCAGTATAATATTCGACTGAAAAAAAAATTTACATTAGGAATGTTATATCAGAGCTCACGGACTTAAAATAATAAGGGCTATAATCATTTTAGTCATTCATAAGGACCAGTACAAATAGAAAGAAGAAAATCAGGTGGACTGGTGTAAGTTATGGGGGCTTTTGATCACCACAGAGTACTTTTATTATGAACATTTATTTATTTTTATTTATTTATTTTTTTAAAAATATAAATCAGATCCATTAATGCTATCCTGCTAGAGATAGGACACCACCTCCAAAATAAAAATTCTAATGCAACTGTTTTGTAACGAAACATTTTGATTGGCTAATTCACTGTTGTTTTAGATCGTTAAATGATCATTAACAAGAGTGAAAGATTTTAATTTTAACATCATAATAGAACTATGTAGTTGTGTGTGAGTTGAATAAATTAACATTAATCTATTACGGCAACAGTTTTCCGTTAATCTCTTTATGTTCAATTTAAATATTATTTTAGATATGGATTTCCTTTTTAGTTCTGGTCAATTATTTATGGATAATTGATTTCTTGTTTTGGTTGGCTGAGAGGTTTGATCATGTGATTTTTATTTTGAAGGTTCTATTGATAATAAGCATTTCAAATTTAGTCTAAAATGGTCTGTTGATTATTTAACACATGTTATATTGATCTTAGACATTATTTATCCATAGAATGTCTGATTCAGTTGATTTTAATATTATAAATACATTCATTTGATGAATAGTAAGAGTAAATGTGTGAAATAGTTTATATAATTTCTTTATAAAATATGTGAAAATATTAGTTATATTACGGAGATCCATTTGATACACGATATAGTCAGATGTAGATTAAACCAGGATCTGATAGCATATATTGGGTAAGATACGTATTGTATGTGTTTGTATTGTGTTATGTGTAATGTGCGTCTTCGCATGTTATGTGTTTACATTCCATTGCTATGTGAATCGTAGCATGAAAAATTTATATTTCATTAATGGCAGTGCTTTATATTTGAAATTGTATTTTCATATTTTTATATTCATTGAAATTTATAAGATTTATGTTATACAGAGAGAGAGTAAATCATACATACATCGTTGATTCTACTTTATATGAATAATCTGATTGTTACAGTAACGTGAAAAATAATACTAATAGATTGATTGATTGATTGATTGTATGTTGTTTTACGTCCCATTCTAGAATTTTTCACTCATTTAGAGACGTCACCGTATACCGGTGAAGGGCTTCAAATTTTGACCTTTACTCGGCACTCGGGGCCATTGAGCAGTGAGGGATCTTTATTGTGCCAACGCCTGCCGTGACACGGGGCCTCGGTTTTTTAAGGTCTCATCCGAAAGACCCGCAACTTTCACTTCAAAGTGCCGAGCGCATGGCGAAGGAACAGTTGCTACCCATTTTATCGACTTGGGTTTCTCGCGGCCGAGATTCGAACTCACGATCTCCCGATCACGGAGCGAGCGCTCTACCGACTGAGCTACCGTGAACGGTAATACTAAAAGAAGAAATATTTATTGAATAGTTTTTGTATTATGAAACTAGACACGAGTTATCTCTTTGTATATTTTATTTATCCCCTACTACCCAAATATTTCTATATATGCAATAAGCAAAACATGCAATATATAATTGTTCGAAAGAGCTAAAGCCACGAAGTGCCAAAATCGGCCCTGTGATTTTGAGTAAAATAAAGTCTCCCACCATATTACACCATATTACCATTTTTTTCTAGATTATTTCAACTATTGTTCACTTTATATTATTTTACCAGGTTGGAGTAACTAAAAACTTTATTTGCATGTTAATTTCTTTTAGCCTTTTGTCATTGTCTTTGAAGTTTTTCCTAGGTAAAGAAAAGGAACGCGCCCTATGTTAAAAATGAACTAAATAATTTTAAAATGTACTTCTTTATGCTATGTGATTTTCTCTCAGTCCAAAAAAGATTTTTCCTCCAGTATATGGAGGGTCTATATGTGCATATTACCTTCTTACTCATAACCTTTCCTTCATGACGTTATAGTATATCAAGTCAACGTCATAACGTCATAGTATTCATGTAGAAAACAATATCAATTTTAAATGACAGTAAAAAGAAAACTAGAAAAGATATTGCAAAAAAAAAATGTTTTATAACCTTTTAATCTTAAAGTATTACTTGAGAAAATTTCACCTATTTTGGTGACAGGGCCGATTTTGGCACTTCGTGGCTTTAGCTCTTTCAGTGTCAAGACAAACTATATTTATTGAATCTTGCAGGAAAAAAGGCTTTATGCGGAATATAGATCAATCATCAATCAAATTAATCATTAAACATGGTGTCGTTTATAAAATAAAATAAAACCAAAATAAAGAGACTCTGAATTGCAATCTCTTATAGAACCGACAGTTCCACAAAAGAATCTATGTCAAAATATACATTTACATGCTGAATATTAAATCTAAACTCAAAGTTACATTTACAGTTAATTGTCTTGTCTAATAATGAACACAATAAGAATTATACTAGTATGTATTGTGATAAAATTGAATATTACATATCTAAACAATTAAAAAAAAAAGTTCTTAAAAAGTCAAATGGTCAAGTACTGAATAATTTTGAGGCCTTTTTTTTATCAGCATCATTCGTAAGATCGTCAGATGACTTAATTTTAATAAAAGAAAAAAAAAGATATGAGGACGTTAGAAATAACATGTACAGTACCGGCAGTCGATGAAAAAATATACAGGAGCATGGAAATATTAGAGTTGGTTGTAATAAACTAAAAAGAGAACATAGAAATAAGAGAGAAAGATGGAAAATTACAGAATAAATCAAGAAAATTACAAACTGTAAATACTCGTTATGATCTGTAAACAATTATTCTGATATAGAAACATTACATCTCCCCAAGTGGAAGAGATTTCATTCTTAGCAGTGTCGCTTCCTGAATATAATGAGTTGGTTTTTGTTGTAATGAATATTGATAGGACTGTAGAGATCCTATATAATCCCCACAGATTTGTTGACAGATTCCAAGTATTTGCCAAGAAATATCTCTTAGATCGGTTGGTACATTATTACCATCATCATGGAGCAGCAGAGTGTGTAGATCCTGTAGATATTCTTGTGACCTGACTGTGTCATCCTGTCTGTGATGATTTAGGATAAGTAACATGTGTAACAACACTAGGGGTGGGATCAATAATACAGGCGTGCCATACTTGTTTATTATTTGCTCCATTGCTAGTTCATTAATGCAAGTGTATTCATTGTTAAACACAATATCTTTCACTACAGCTATCCTTATTTTTTTACCCAGAGGTATCCCAGCCATGCACTGTCTGTACACATTAACATTTACATTAAGACCATACATAATATATGGCTGTGACATTCTCTCCTGTGCTTTCTGTAAACAATTGAGTGAATGTTCATACCTACAATCTCTGTACAAGTACATAGCAAGATACAAAATGTCTGACACACAGCCAAACGTGCAGGAAACTTTAAGCAATTTATTAGACACCTTATTTGCTTTGTATTGGATCTTATTGCGATATCTATTTGTATAAATACTACTCTGAATCAAGAAGGCGATGTTCCGTAACACAATTGATGTCATATATTGTAATGTAACTATCTGATATGATGTCAATCTTCTTATAATTATATTCTTAAGGTGTTCCATGTAAACTCGAAATTCCTCCATACAACAAACAGCATTGTCTGAATATAGTTCTTTATAGAAGCTGATATCTAGCTCAGTGCTAGATATGATGCTGCTCTCGTTAGTAAAGACACTCATCGATCTATATAAAATGGAAAGACTGAGGTAAGGTCTCAAGGTTGGACTTAATAGAAGACATGATACCCCCTTACAATATAAATCATACAACTGACTGAACATTAAAGTTTGTGCAGAACCGACGACTTTCTTTCGAAACATGTTATTTTGGGGAATAAAAAAGTTTGGACATTCTCCAATTCGTACCCAGTATATCAATAATTTAAAGCATTCCCAGAAAGAAGACAACAAGTTATGTGGTGTCCAAGTCAAGGAATTACCATGCTGAATTACCCAAAATACAGTTGTTTTTATGAAATATGAACATAGCATAGTTGTATTATTTTGCAAATTAATTACTTCTTTTAGAAAAAATTTGAAGAGACCATAACACAAAAACTGACAGTGATTCATTGAACACACAAGCTTTTGTTCCGCTTTCGAGAATGAGACTCTCCATTCTTCTCCATTATCAGGTGTGCTGCCAATAGGAACAACATGGAATCCACTTAATATTTCTGAAAGAACAATCTCAGATGGCCAGCCTCGCTGACGACATCTTTGTATCCATGGCAGTGCTATTGTTGGCCAGTGATTTGACCATAAACAAAAAGCGAAGTCAGCTTCTACATTTTGGATATTGGATGAAGAACAAGGTCCATGATGGAAAGAAGAGGCCATGAGGGCAGACCTGGACTTAAAATCTTGGAAATAGTTATCGCGGAATAATGTACTAGAAATGTAAATTTCTCCATTCATCATTACACATGAGGATCTAATTTTTGGATAATTTGATGGACTTATCAATTTTAGTCTGGTAAATCCTGGTGGTAAATCATCACACTCCATCAGAATCACAGTGTGTTGTGGGATATGGTAAAGACTGATCTGTGAGGGATCACAGATTACTTTATGGTTTGAAATCCATAACATATGATCTTCATCTGAAGTTCTCAGTCTGAATCCCTCTCTTGTACTCCCGCTCTTCATTCTATCATACCCCCTTATGATGTGCAGAGGATTATTCACAAACTCCTCAGTGTCCATCACTTCTCTCCTGAACCTCACTTCTGTAGGACTCCCTATTTTATGACACAGTCCATAATAGACAACCTCTGATAGTCGAGGAATGTGATTCATTGCAAAGTATAATTAAATAATTATATAGCAGAAATCTGAAAAAGAAAATGTAAGGTTATTTTCACCGAACCGAAAATGTTAGGAGGCAACTGAACATTATAAACTTGCAGCATTTATCAAGGTTGCAGAGGACAGTTTTTTTTTGATAACCAAAACGTTTGGCTGAGGTCTCCTTAATATTGAGCTGCTTGTAAAATGTGTATTGGAAAATTTTAAATTCCCTCTTCATGTAACAATAGCATGTTCAAGTCCCTTTATGAATTGGAAGATTTTAGGAATAAAACATGTACAATGAACTATATGGAGATAACGAACAGTATTCAACCTCAAAAGTCCATTTAAACAATGCAAATCAGGAGCAGAGCAAACACGGTCCTTTACAACATCAGAGGTGGGATCAGGTTCCATGGAGGAGTGATCATCCCCTTACAACCGGTCTCACCCGCCGTGTGCTCCTTGTCATAATCTGGAAATAACGGGAAAATCCGTGACAATTCAGCGTCTAACTGTGGGCCTAAAATTAGTATGAAAAACATCAGTCAGTATTTGACTTACCGTATATCTTCGCATATAAGTCGGTTTTTGGGAGTTAAATTTTGGTCCAAAACTCTATTTCCGACTTATTGGCGAGTCATAAAAAGATTGATATTTTTCTGAAAGGCGAAATGTAGTACTTTATAAACATTTTCGACGATTATCGATGAACAAAGTCTGGACACATTATATCATTTATGGATTCTGAGATTATGCATAAACACATGATAAAATACAAGTATTTACATATTTTAACAATTTTATTTTTATCACGTGTGCATTTCTTATTTTTTGTACGGATTTAAAATTACATATCAGCGTCATTCCTTAAAATGTTAAATGAATAGAGGTGAAAAGATAAGAGCATCGATTCTGGCAAAACGTTGTACAGACTTATAGGCGGATGAATGGCAAATCCCTCCAAAATAACTTTACGAAATACAACCGACTTATAGGCTGACCGACTTATAGGCGAGTATATACGGTAATGATAGATTGTTTTTTCTGACATGGACATTGTGTCGACCATGTAGAACTTACGAAATGACTTTTGATATTCTTGTTTCACCAATCTCTTTGTCAATACTGTACCTGGTTTCAGAAATTGTTCATACCTAGAGCATGCCCTTGCGTATCGAATCAACTGAGAGATTTGAATCCCGTATACAGGTTAAAATGGTATATTGCTGCATAAGTAAGGGGAGTTGACGATTGAGAATTTGAAGTCATCACGTTTATCATAAAAATTAGCTGTAAGGTTACCACTAACGTCTTTTTCTAGGAAAATATCCAAATATGAAACAGATATGTCAGACTTTGTGGTATCTTTTATTTCAAGTTCTTTGGGATATATTCAGTCGACATATCGATGGAAATAACAATTGTTAATTGATAATTCGTCGTCGATATATTTAAATGTCGAGTTGAAGACCAGGGTAAATGTGTTCTTTTTCTCATGTATGAGATTTTGAATAAATTCTGCTTCATATGAAAACAAAAAAGGTCTGCTAATAAGGGGATGAAATTGGTACCCATTGGAATTCCAATGGATTGTTGGAAGACCTGGTCTCCAAAAACCACATAGATATTGTCAATCAGAAACTCAAGCATCATTTTAACTCCAGAGTACTTGTGTGTACAATCAGACTGATTTTAACAAAATAATTTTGCAATGAACAATGATAAGTAAATTGACGATTTCCATTTTTATTGAAAAAGCAGCTGTCAATGATGTCAAAAAGCCTGGACATTAATTTATCGAGGGGAATGGTTGATAGAGTTGAAAAGTCGTAAGTCTTGATGTTATTGATTTTGGTAAAATTTTGTGATTTCAAATTTTCCTAAAGTTCCTTGGAATTTTTAAGAATTCCTATCTGATTTACACCACTCGAATATATAGTTGACAATGCTCCTGAAGTTTTTCCTTTACCGCTGTTAATATTTAAGTAATATATGAGTAAAGAAAAAAGGCTTTGTAGAAAATTTACTGAAACCCGCTATGTATCTTTGTTTGTAAGGATTTTTATGAAGTTTCGGAATCCGATATAAATATGGTAATTCAAATTCATTTTGGATGTTGGAAATTTAAAAAAATATATTTAAAACTGACACATGGTTTTTAAAAAAGCTATGGGTAGAGGTTGGATTTCCACTTTAAGAATTACAGCTTACACATAAAGCCCAAATGATGGCACAGGGACAGTCCCAATATTCATGAAAATTCAGCCTTTTTCACTAGTTCACCAGATCCTCATCAACTTCAAGGACCGCGCTGAAGCCCTACGCTACCACACAAAATGCAGACCAACGCCTGCACATTGAACAGCAAAAAGATATTGGCTCAACCACCTCCTCTTCATGGTACAATTCATCCTATGAACCCACCCCGATTTTCTGAGGAAATCCCGGAGGAGTTATAATTGGTTTTAGTTTCGTATTTCTAATCCATATCCTATGAATAATAGTAGTGGCACCACAGTGTCATTTAACAATAAAATATATAAGGCCATCCATCCAAATGCACACATTAAATAATCTAGAAATAAAATTACCTAAAATATGCATTCAAACTTTAGGTTTCTATATCTTTTTTCTAATTTTTGACCGGTACTTTATCCGAAACTATCCTCTGTCACCCAAGCTCTTATGTGTAAAAGATAGATAAAGCGAGATAAAGCCCTTTGTAATTGCTTGAAAGGCATTATGAATAATTGATAGCTTACATGGTCCCAGAAAATTTTGACTGATATAAGTTTGAACATCTCCAGGATTATAGGATACTTTCTTTTAAAAAAAAATCCTGATAAAAATTTACTCACAAACAAAAATACAAGAAGTGTCGAGGAGAAAATAAAATCATAAAACAGAAAACAACACAACATCCAACTCTTGCGAGAAGAATTTCTAGGCTTTGTAGCTCCCTATAAAGATATGAAAAAAAGAGAAAAAATGAACTTTAAAAGTAATCTTTTTAATGTGGTATTATTTTTATACGTAAGGTTAAAAAATGGGAGAATCGAATGCTAAACAGAAATCGTATTAATACAAAAAGACGATTACTAAATCTTGACAGTAAGATTAAGGGGTTTAAACTTTACAATGACTTTTAAGTCATTAGATCAAGGTTAGATATTTACGTAGTTGCTATTGTTTGCTGGTAAATGGGAAACAAGTAGATATCTGGATTTATTTATTATAATGTAAAAAAGATAATTCAAACCACTTCATTTTTTTTATTTGATTAACACTGAAAAAAATTGTTCTCAAAGCATAATTCACTTTGATTGTGCAAAACTGGAACAGACCGTGGAGATGGATCACATGGCAATAATTTAAAGACTTTAATAATGGCGGCTGGGACATCGTCATATTGCCGTCTATTAGTTGCTTATTGATTTGCGTCAAATTTTCCAATGAGAGTTGAATACAAAACATATGGTTAACTAGAATTTATTAAAATCGTATACAAGTTAATCATGTGGACCTTACTTTTTTGTTCAGGATAACACTAACTCATAGACACTAACTGCAAAAAGCGGAAACAAAATATCCTTGTGTATTAATGCTCAAAGATAAATCAATTGCAACAAAAAGGTTCGAGAAAAATTAAATATTTATCAATTAAATAATTACAAATTCAATAAGAAAAGTGAAATACTTAATAAAATAATCAAACCTGTTTCCAGAGATAGTGACACTTAAAACGGAAATTCCCTTTGATGTACTTTCGGTTTGTATATCATTACCTGTACTCTACTTAAGGTTTAAAAGTCCGATAGATTTGATCAAAAAGTTAAATAAAAAGTATATGTTTATCTTCTAGAAGATCCATCACCTGACTCATCTGAAACTTCGTATTGTAATATCAGTTCTCAGTATTTGTTCCAAGAATAGCATATTTATCGTATACGACAAGGTTGATCTTGAAATTCAGAGTCGGATAACATGCATGCATTTATATGATAATGATTATTGTTCCTCACAGCTTTCATGTTTGGAACGACACCTATAGGCAAAAGATTGTATGAGTCTTCGGACGAGTTTTCGGACAGTGAACATTTGTACTTTTTAGTTATCGGAACCTTGAACTAACAGAGCACTGGTCTAGTGAACTGTGACAATTTATCATGGGGTGCATATTCCCCATTTGATAGCAAATGCACACTCTAACAAATACGTTGTGAAAGTTTCAGAGATCAATTTAGTAATGACGAAAAAAAAACAGAATGTTGTGTTACCTGGTAGAAAAAAACCTCGACCATAGTAAAAACTTTGATTAACTATTATAAACTATATTAAACTAAATTAACTATAGTTTACTATAGTAATTTTTTTTAAGGAAGACCTTTCTTTGGGTAGCAACATTTTGACCTCTTGACCTTGGAATCTGGCTTACATTTTGAAACGTTAACAATGTCCATGAGCTGCTGTACGATGTGTACGTCCTTAATTACCCTCCTGATTTTCTACATTGTTCAGATTAAATGTTTAATTAGTGAGTAAGGAAGGAAGTAAATAATTTTTTAATTAAGTGTCACATGCCAAATATTACAAATAAAACAACACAATTAAAATTGCATATAAAGTATTAGCATCCTGCCTGAAAGACATATGAGACATTAAATAAAGCAGTAAGCTTTATATTTTCCCACAGTTTTAAAATATTTAGTTACTTCAGAGCTTATCTGAAATATCTGCATGCATCCCTCGTTTGTGCATTAAAAAAAATTTTTGGGGATACCACAGCCTGTATATGTCTGTTTATCCTTTTGTCTTCATTGCAATGTTACCTGTAGATACCCGAAAAGTTGGATCTTATCAGGCATCTACAGGTTACTTATTGGACGGAGTTCAAAACAATAAAAAAAATATATTGGACCAGGTTAAAAAAAAGAATGGCTTCACAAAAGCAAGACCTTTAGGCGATTGGATGCAAAGCAGAATGTTTCATTAATTAATATATTAAAACATATTTCATAAATATTTTTTTTTATTTTGCCATTGC